CCCCCCCTACATACATTTTCTAGGCATGCATTATGGTTGTGCCCACTGTTCTATAAAAATCTCGCTTACACCAGAGGTTTCCCATAGCCGCTTTCAATTCAATTTATCCCTGTCTTAGACCCCCTAGACCTTGATAAATCCCCGCACAGGCGTTTTAGGTGCTAGACTCTGGTCTACACTGCACCCAAGGAATGTGTCTAACACATTTTAAATCACTGTTAGTGTTTTGTCAAGGCACCTTACAAATATGCTCATTTTCAATTACAATTAGCGTTTTAGATCATTTTTAATGGTGTATATTAACTTTAAAAATGTTAATGCTAAACACTGTCACTAGATAATCTTCTCAAAACGCTAAAGCAGTTTCTTATCATGAATTGATTGCAGATGTGGATAGCAAAGGCGGAGTATGATGAGTCTGGGCCTTCAATTGTTCACAGAAAATGCTTCTAAACAACACAGTTTGCTCTTTTCCCCGTTCCCATCCCCTTTCAAAGTTTTCAATCATATTAAACTTCATATATGCATCATGTACGAGAGTTGAATTGTCCTCCATTTAAAATAAAAGTTTCAATGGTTTCGGTTTATTTTTTCTTAACTAAAAAAGAGTGGTGTTCTTGACCATCAATATCAATGTATAGTGTTGTCATCATCGATGGGTATGATGATTGATTTCGGAGTGGTTAATACTTGATACAAAGTATATTACGATGGGTTAGCCTTTTGATGGGGGGAGTAATTCATCAACATGACATTTGAACTTGAGGCCTTAAAATATAGGTCTTGTTTGATGAAAACTATACATATAGATGATACAGTGTTTACATGAACTACCTTTAACCCATACTCTTTTTTTTTTTGTATCGTATTTTATAACATAGGATAAGGTTTACTTAGGTTTCACAAAAAACGACTTTCTTCTTGCTATATTCATATGTTTCACTTGAGAGCATTGACATTAATGCCATGACACCATCCATACCCAGACTCCATTTACCAACGCACGAGACTACGTTAGCGCCACTCGACTAACAAATACTAAAGTAATAGTAACACATAAGAAAAGATTCAAAACGGGATTGACATGTTTTTATTATCAAAATATAATCTAAATTCATTTTTTTAAAAAAAAAATTTTGCACTGATCCAGTAAAAGAATCGACTCTGCTCATTTGTCCAGGACTTGCTACAAATCACATTGGTCTAAGTGCCCCCTTAGGACACCCACCCGCCAAATCCCCTCGCCATGATCAATAATATCTGGCACCTTCGGTGATGTATGAAAGGGACCCCAACCCCGTGTCTCTTCTCCATCCCCAATATGCCTCCTTATTCCTTCATTGAGCAAAATTCCTTGGCCTCTAGAATACTTCTACAAAATAACTTCATGACTATCCCAACGAAGCCTAAAAAAAGACCGAGAGAAGTACCTTGTCTTGAAAACACGGGAGACATGGGTATTCGGACAAGTCAGAAATCTCTACCCCTGCCCACCAAACATAGCCACATGTTAAAAGCATGAAAGCTATGAAACCCCAATCCCACTTAGCATGAATGCTATATATATAGATTTATATAGTAACTTCATTCATATCTTTTAGAAATGCCCCTTCATTAGAGCATTTGAGAATAAAGTTGCACAAGTTGACCAAATTCCATGTCTTTTAATAAAAACCCAGATTCATACCATCTAGGCCCGATGCCTTATTGGGGTGCATGGAAAAATGTGCCTCCTTCATTCACTCTCTTCAAACGCTCTAAAAAAACAAACTATTTTTCTCACCCGTAACACAATGGTTGACCCCTCCACGTGCCATAGGTATGCGTACTCCGGCCCTCATACCGAAAAGTCCCTTCAAAGCAATGTTGCACCTCTAGCTAGCCCTGGCTGGCCTGCAAGTCATTCCCCACTCTGTAGCTAGACTTCCATATGAATCTCTAAGCCTTTGAATAAAAATAATTCTCTTTTTTCATTTCACTATGAGAAAGAACCCTTTGTCTCCATTAGAAATACAAAAATTCAAAAGTCAAAACTCATTATTAGAATGATATTTTGAAGCAGAATGATTTAAAACATGTCATTTGTAAGAATAATGCCAGACAACTAGACGATGCTATGTTCAAATTAAACTCAACCATGATATCCAACTTCAATTCTAACTTTGCCTTCAATCTCTTTTCTATGTTCCTTAGTCCTTACTACAAACTCCTCATACATAGTATATCTCTCTCACACAATTTGACTTGTACAATTTTTTAGGATAAGTGCTTACAAGGTCCTTAATTCTCTATATATTTTTGAAAGTGCTTTCCAAGTTCCCAAATTATTTTAAGTACTTATTAGATCCCTATATATTTTTGAAAGTGCTACGTAGGTTCTTAACTTTTTTTAGTTCCTACCAAGTCCATATACTTTGTAACTAGTGCGTTAGTAGTCCCTTCGGTGACATTTTTTAGATCAAGTACGCAGAAATTGTTTGGGCAACACGCACAAGTTATTCAAAAGTTTATAATATAATGTCATTTCTTACAATAGTTTTAGGAGACTTGGTCTGAAAAAAGCTATCGAAGAGAATACTAACGTACCAATTAAAAAGAACATGGATGAGATAAACACTAAACATAATTTAGGGACCCGTGAAGCACTTTCAAAATAATAAAGGGACCTTGTAAGTACGTAAAATATTTCAGAGACTTGGAAAGCATTTTTTAAAAAAAAATATAAGAACCTTGTAAGTACTTTAAATTTTACTCAAATTTTTATGAAACGTTTTGAGCAATGACCAGTGATATCTATGGTTACATTTAAACAAATTACATGATAGTAATAAGGAGTACGAAGTATATTGTAACATATATTATTTTTAAAAATTGAATGTTCAATCTTATAATTTCAACTTTCCAAGTGCAAGAGTGGAGCTCAAACAATAAATGTAGAGAAACAACATGCTTCCACTCAATTGAATGTTTTTGAATTTGAATTACGAGTGTAATTTAATATATTTACATATAAATGATGTTTAAAAAGTTAAATTATGAATTTGTCTTAAGAGGAAATTGAATTATTTAGTACGAGTACATTCCAATCAATGGTTTTAAACCCGGGGCTGGACATCAAACCGGCGAGGAGGCCGAGTCTCAATTTTTTCTAGGTCAACCTGATTTTTTTTCGGGGCTTTTGAGTTGGACTGGAATGGTTACATGTCCCAATTACGGCTCAATCAATTTGACTGCCAACCCCAATCTGAGTTTACTAACATTGGCATATCCATGCGTCATGTGTGTGTGTGTTAGAGACCGTGTTTTGAAAAGAGGACCGGGCCGGCCGATCGGGTTCATTAGCCGAACCTATTTTGTTGTTGACCCGCCAAAATCTGTTAGACCCGGTGAATCGGGTGACCCGGGTCGTCCCAAAAAAAACTTTCCATTTGTTATTAAAAGTCCATTATACCCCTCCATCCCAAACCCTAACAAAACTAACCTAACCCACCCCCCACCCGTTAGAATCTTCTCTCTCCTCCTCTTCGCCACTTCCAATTCCCAGACTCTCTCATCTTCTCCCTTCCTCTTCTCTCAGATCTAACCTCTATCTCTATTCTCCTCTCTGAATCCATGAAAAGTCGCGACCCTACGATGCCCTCATTTCAATTACTGAGCGACAGTGATGAGGAAACATTTTTTCCTCGTCAAAGATCCCCTCCACCCACAATTTCAAAGAGGAAGGATGAGGAGATCTGAGGATCTGGCTTGGATGGAGGTGGATCTGACTCCTCTGAGACGGATCCAACTTGGAGTTTCCGTAAAAAGCATTTGGGGGGGGGGGGGTTATTACTCTGACTGTGAAAGGAGTTTCGAAAAAGAGGATGGAGAAGAAGACTCTGAATTTGTGACATCTGCACAGATCTTGGAGATGTCTGAGGATGAGCTCAATTTCTCAAAAGCTACTTCAGACCCAGCGAAACAAAATCGTTTCAAATCAAGTAAGATGTATCTACTTTGATTTGCTTGCATGCGAAAGTTTTTAAATTTTGTTGGCAAACTCATTATGCAAACTTGATTAATTCTGAAAAGAGTTCAGAATATGTGTGGTTTTTGCTGTAATGTCACCACTTTCATGTTGGAGACTTACAGAAACCACATTTATGCCGGTATGGTCTGTGTTGTTTTTGGTCTACCTGTGTTTTGTAGCGTGAAAGGAAATGTATTTTCTGGTGATTTAAGTTGTGCTTTTTTGTTCTGAAAATTAACCATTCTAGCTTGATTTTGTGATTCTGTGGTTCTGTGGTTCTCTTCTTCTATTTAAGGACTGATACTAGACTTTAGAAACCAACAAAAGACAGATACTACACCTCTTCTACTTAAGGACATATACTCCACTTCTTTTTAGCAAAAGACAGATAATACCCTTCAGATACTACACTTCATATTCACAAAAGTACAACCCAGCAAAAATCAAAAAGCAAAAAACAGGCAAGTGGTAGTACTTAGACATTTGTACCCTGACCAAACTGCCTGGTAACCTAAAGTTAGATGCTACACTGATTACATTTGTGCATTGACTTGGGAGTACAAGAGAATATTGTAATTTTCCCATGCCCTATTGTACATACAAAAAAGAACTTCCAAAAAGTTCACATTTGTTCCTCTAGAAAATGTTTTGTCTCTTCATAAACTTCTTGGGTGACCCCTACATTGTCTGGCAGCCTCCTTCCTTCCCTAGCTAACATTGCTTTCCCAATGTGAGGTATTCTGAAATTGTTGCCACCTCTGTTCTTAAGAACCTCACCCATAACTCCTTGCAATGTTAGGAAAACATTATTCAACTTCTCATGTGGGATATCTTGAAATGCTGTGGTTAGAGCATTTATCAATTCACTTAAGTTTCTAGGAGCTGATTGATCTTGAATGATGTCAATTGACCTAAAGAAACCCAGATCAAGTACATTTAAATCTGGGCTATTGGGTGGCTGAAATTTCAGTTTAATGTTCCAATCTCCATCTACTGCAGCTGCTACAAACTCTATATTATTTCCTTCCACATGTGGTTTGGCATTATCTTGCTGAATGATAACATGTTTAGTTGGTCCCGACCATTTTTCCTTGATTGCTGGCAGAAGTTTTTGAATCAAAATATTTTTCATGACCACCCTGTCTATAACTGGCACTGCCTTAACTTCAAGTGTTCCTGCTGGCCTATTTTACCCGTTGCTGCTAAAAACATTATTTTTGGTATGTGTGTTTTGGATTGGATTGTTCTGTGTGCGTCTTCTTCCTCTGGCAGTGCATAAAAGGTGGCCTTTTCCTTTGTGATATTGAACCATTTCTCATCAATATGAATATAATCATTAAAATTGTGAAATGTTGGGTTCAATTGAAGTGATGAGGGAGAAATATAGTCCAAAAAAAAGCTCAGTCTTTTTAGCTTACCCGAGTCTGACAAATATGGCTTGATTGCATTGGAATGTCTTCTTATGGTCTTCCTTTTTAGCCATCTCTGGACAGTTGATTTTTATACTTCAATTGCATAGCCAAGGGCACATATGTTCTTGTGCCTATGAAATGGAACTGCCAACATCTTTGGAATGTCAACAGGCACTTCTTTTCTGCCAGAGTTCCCCTTCCTTTTGCATTGAACACAAACTGGTAGACCATCCTGCATTTGACCACTAGCTGATGACCATATTTTCCCTACTATTTTTCTGGAAATGTTGAACTCTCCAGCCACTGCTTTAATGCAACCATGCTGAAGTTTGTCGCGCTTATAAGACTGTAGTAACCTATCGATTATTCTTCTTCTTCTTTCGCTTTGTTTTTCTCGTGAATGTGCTGTGTTTTCCTCTGTATCTGTAGGGATTTCAAGGTTGAGAAAGGGGACTTGGAGAAGTGGAGGGTGGGGGTGGTTCTCACTGGCAGAATTATCCCCTGATTCCAGTGGGGCTTGCTCATCAAAAGACAAAGATGAAGAAGAAAACTCCATAAAGAAGAGAAGAAACAAAAGAAGAAAGCATTGAATGCATGGAATGGATTCAATGCTTTCTATTTATAGAAGTAGTGCTATTTTTTGTGGTTTGTTGTAATTGGAGGGAAATGAAAAATTTCCCAAAAAATTTTCCCTCCTACATGGGTTCAAGAATTTAAATGTAATTTGTAGTGAATAGTGGTGTAATGATTGTGTTGATTTGTTATGTTTCATTTCCCTTATTTAATTAAAAAAAGTACACCCACTTTTCTTACACTTTTCTCCTTTTTCATTTAGGGCGTGTGGGGGGGTGTATTTTGGGCAACTCAAAGCCAAAAAAACCTCTCCTTATTTTGGGGTTCTATTCCAAATGAGAAGTTTTATATGGGATGGAGGGAGTAGTATATAAACACATTAGAGACAGTGTTTTGAAAAGAGGACCAGACCGGCCCATTACCCAAACCTGTTTTGTTGTTAACCTGCCAAATCTGTCAGACCCGGTGAACCGGGTGACCCAGGTCAGCCCAGTCGAGTGGCGAGTTTGGATGTATAACCTTTTTTATTTTTAGTATTAGGAGGATTGAAGAACCTACAACATATGAGAAGTCAACTCAAGACTCCTACTACCATTTAAGCTAATCCACCATTTGTTATATATGTCTCTCAACATGTTATATATCGACTTGTATATTGATAAAAACTTCTAATAAGGAGGAATGTTTAATGTATTTTTTTTATGAAATTCTAAATTAGTTCAAATAAAAAAATATTATTTATTCTTTTTTGAAAAGTAAATATAAATTATTTATATAAAAAAATTCATCTTTAAAAATTTAGTGTGGAGCAACATTTAACAATTAGTATATACACACATTAAACAAGATGAAAAAGTGAAAAAAATTTAAATAAAAAATATTTTTTTCTTTGAACAAAAATGCACTTTCATTGAATCAAACACAAGTCCCCCCAAAACAGTTTACAAACTTTGCCTACCAAGCCAACTAACTACAAACCCCATACAATGCAAAAACTATTTCTTCGGCCCCTTCCCCTAATAAGCTGTTAGACAAAGAAGGATGCTGTTATACATTACTTCTAGCTGTGGCTGCTCCTGTTTATGAAAGAGCTTGTTCGTCGCCTTCCAGATATGGTAGCATGTAGCTACAAAAGCACTAATGCCTCTATCCCTTCTTCTCCCTCGGACTCTCATCAGGTTTTCTCTGATTTCTTGAACACTATTTCCCTCCATCTTAATCTCCAGCCAGTCAGAGATTATCATTAGCAAAGACTTAGTGAGAGGACAGGTGCTAAAGAGATGATCAGCATCCTCCTCACTACCTTGACACAGATCACACACCATGTTAATAGGTATGTATTTCCCCAGTCTTGTCTTTGTGTTCACTCTTCCTCTACAGATTAACCAGACAAAGAACTGATGCTTTGGACAAGATAGTTTGTTCCAGGCAAAAGAGATCCAGTCCTCCTTCCTCCTTTGCCCCATCAACCATCTATACCCCTCTTCTGTTGTGTATTCTCTGTCCCTTGGCATTTGGTCAAACCACTTCCTGTTTTGTATAATTTTCTTCCAATAGTAACAGGTTTCTCCTCTCAGAATGTAGCTCACAGCGTCCCCCTTTACATATCTCTCATGGATCCATTTTACCCATAGGTTGTTCTTATCTTTAGCCACGTCCCTCCAATAATTGTGGATGAAAGCCCTGTTCCAAAAGACCATGTTCCTTAGCCCTAGACCTCCATGTATTTTTGGTAAACACACATCTTCCCATCTGACCAGAGGGTGTTTTAGGTAGTTGGCTGAAGCCCCCCATAGGAAGTTCCTACAGATGGCTTGCACTTTCCTCATTACTTTATTTGGAATAATAAACAGTTGGCACCAGAACGTCATAATTCCAAAGAGCACACTATTAATCAACTTACTCCTACCAGCATAGGACATATGTTTGGATGCCCAGATGGTCACTCTATCTGTTAAGCTACTCACTAGCATGTCACACTCCCTCTCACTGAGTCTACCTGCAGAAATTGGACTTCCAAGGTATCTGATTGGAAGCTCACCAAGGGGCAGATTGGTTAGCTTCAGAAAATGCTCTTGGTCCTTCTTGTCCACACCTCCAAAAATAATTTGTGATTTGGTGTAGTTAATGCCCAAACCTGTAGACTTCTGGAATTTCCTCATAACCTCCATAATACAATTCTGAAACTCCTCCTCAGCCTTGCATACTATGATTAGGTCATCTGTAAAACTCAAATTTACCAGTTTTAAAGATCTGCACATGGGGTGAAATTTGAATCTTTTGTCTTTTGCCATCTGTTGAAGCAGCCTATTAAGGCACTCCATGACTAAAACAAAAAGCATAGGGGAAATAGGGTCTCCTTGTCTGAGTCCTTTCTTCCCCTTAAAGAACCCATAGCTTTCTCCATTAATCTGTACAGAGAAAGAGGGGGTGGTTATGCACATCTCAATCCAAGCCACAAATTGACTAGGGAAATTCAGCAGCTCCATAATTTTTAAAACAGCCTTCGAGTTCACTGTGTCATAAGCCTTCCTAATATCCAGCTTGATTAGGCATCTGGGAGAAATTCCCCTCCTTCTGTAACCTCTTGTTAGTTCATGGCAAAGTAGGACATTGTGTACCAGGCTTCGCCTTTCAACAAAGGCCCCCTAGTTCTGGTTAACCAGTACTGGGAGAATCTCCTTCAATTTGTTGCACAATATTTTTGAAATGACTTTATATACCACATTACAACAAGCTATTGGTCTATAATTATTAGTCATCTTTGGTGCCTCCACTTTAGGAATCACTGTGAGGGATGTGGCATTAATTTTTCTTAGAAATTTCCCTTTGAAGAAGTCCAGGATAGCCTCAGTAATCAGCTCCCCTACAACTTCCCATTGATTCTTAAAGAATCCACTACTAAAACCATCTCGGCCAGGGCTTTTTGAATTAGGGATACTGAACAGAGCTTCCTTCACCTGTATCCTTTTCACTTCTGCTATAAGAGTGAGCTGTTGGTCTATATTCAGACTTGTGCCTTCCTTCATGGCTTCCATGTCTACATCTTCTATATCAGATTGAGTGCCTATTAGATCCTGGAAGTAGCTAACCAGTGTCTCTGCCACCTTCTTATCCCCTTCCACTAATTGCCCCATCTCATTCTTAATAGTTAATACTTGGTTTTGGAATCTTCTTTTTTTGATCCATGAGAAGAACAGTTTTGAGTTCTGATCACTCTCTTGGATCCAATCCCTCTTATTCATCTGATTTATCATCAGGGAAGTAGCCCTAATCTGGTAGTTTAGCTTCTTAATGAGTTCTCTCTCTTCTTGAATGAGCTCCTGAGTACTTGAACATTTGAATGAGCTTTGTAATTTCTATCTCACCATATCAGTTTGCTATTCTACCTTCCCAAATTTGTTTCTGTGTAGCTTCCTGAGGAGGGGCTTGAGCTCTTTTAATTTTCTACAAAGATGAAACATGGGGCAGCCATTTATGTTCCTTTCCCACACTTTCTTTACTATTTGTGGAAAACTTGGGTCCAGTGTCCACATATCACAAAACTTAAAACTTCTATTATTTCTTTCCATGCTTTGGTAAAGCAATAGTGGATAGTGATCAGACAGACCTTCCTCCTTGACCACAAGTTTAGTTCCCATACTCAACATCCATTCAGTGTTACACAAGGCTCTATCAATTCTAGAGTAAATCCTGTGTCCTTGGCTTTGCCTGTTGGACCAGGTGTAGTAGGAACCTTCCATAGGCATTTCCTCTAATCCACAAACTTCCAAGCATTCTTTAAAATCCCTTATTTCCTCCATTCCCACAGGTGTTCCTCCAATCCTGTCTTCAAAATGTAGAACACAATTGAAGTCTCCCAGCACTGTCCAAGCCCCTTGTACATTATTATTTATATTTATCAGGTCTTCCCACAGCTGAAGTCTCTTCAGTGCTTCATTATGGGCATACACAAAGGTGACTTCAAACAAGAGGTCCTTTCCAATCCTTCTTACTTTACAGTGGATCAACTGATCAATTTTTTTACCAGCATTACATTGTATTGGCCTGGATTGCAGGTTACCTAGACTCTCCCTAGATAGTGTTCCTGATGGTTTGTTACTGACTTCCAACCTTTCATCAGCTTATTCTCCATTTCCTAGACCTTATTCTCCTTAATTTTAGTCTCAAGGATAGCCATAAGACCAATCTTATTACTACTAATAAAGTTCTTTATTTTTGATACTTTATTGGGGCTGTTCATACCCCTAATATTCCAACACCCAATCATGTCAAAAAGGGGTAGTGCCCCTGGTATGGGGCTTCATGAAACACTTTATTGATTCCATCAATGAACTGTTCCTCAAAGAGTCCTCCCCTTTTTGCACTCTTCCTCTTGGTAACTATGTGAAACTCCTCTTCTTTCTTATCCTCATCCATCCTTTCTTCCAGATTTTCATTTGAGGCATTCTCCTTGGCATCCTCTTTATGTTGTTGTTGTGGTGTACTTTGTTTCCTTCTCCACACCATAGTCTTTCTAGTAGCAGGTTGCTTATCTCCTTTTTGTCTACATTCTTCTTCTGGATGTCCCAGTTTCTTGCATAAGGTGCATCTTGTAGGGCTCCATTCATATTCAACTTTTTCTGCTATCACTCTACTATCTTCATCAATAAATTGTACCATTTCAGGGAAGCTCTTCTGTATTCCCATCTCAATCTATGTCCTGGCAAAACCCAGCTTTGACTTGGTTGCAGTAGCCTTGTCCCTTTTCACTGGCTTTCCTATGATGCTTCCCAGCTTACTCAGTCCTAAGAGACTCCAATATTTAGGATCTAGGTCTGGAAACCTTACCCAAATTGGAATATCAGTGAGCTCATCTAGGTTGAGTTTACATCCAGGTTTCCATCTTTGAACTAACATTGGCTTATTATCCAGGAAGTAATATTTCCTTCTGGCTATTTCATCCCTATCCTCCTCCTTTTCAAAGTGCACAACAAATTGGCCTTCCCGGAGTACAACAACATCAGCAATCTTGTAATCCTTCCAAATCCTCCTCAGAAATCCATCCATGACTTTTAATGGTGGATTGGCCCTTAAGACGCAGCAGACAAGTGTAGAATTCCATCCCGCATCTTCCTCTACATCCTCCCTTGATAATCTAGCCACCTTCAATCCATTCATTTCTTCTGTTTGTACATATTTCAGTCCATAGTTAAATTCATCTTTTAAACCAGTGATTTCAGCAAAGGTCATCTTCTTAGGTTCCTCAGGTGTTCCCCCTTGACCCGGTGTACCCCTGGGTTAATCCCCAAGCTTCTCAGGTCATTCAGATTTTTTTCCTTCCTCTTCAGATCCGATTGTATATTAGATACAGAGTTGGGAGTGATATCCTTACCTGCACCCGTAGATGACTCTCCCCCACCGGGAGATTCAGATACTCCGTTGCTAGGGTTTAGTTTCGCCCCACCTACCGCCGCCGTTGGTTTCTTCCTCCTTGGTCGACCTCTTTTCCTCGCCGTCATTGCTCAGAGAAGAGATTCGTAATTGAAATAAAAAAAATATTTTTATTAATTTAAAATATTTACTAATATAATACTATAAAATATTATTACTATATTTATAGTTGATCGGATCGTTGACCCCGAATTTGACGGGTTAACTTGGAGAGGATTACTTTTTCAAATAAAGTAATAAACCCTATAATGCAGAGAATCAAGAAATTATTCATCTCATCCCCACCATGGCCCAGATCCCTTATCAGGAAAACGCAACCACGAAGAAAATCTTCTTGTCATTTCATTTCAGAGAAGTATTAGCAACCAACCATTCTTCAGTACAGCTCGCCTAATCAAAACCCAGTTTTTTTTTTCTTTTTTTAATTCAAATGTCTCTCTCTCTGTATCTCTTAAAGTTCAATTACTGATTTTTCTTTTTTTGTTCCGATTTACAGGGTCAGATTTTCCTTCCTTCGGTAAAGCTCGCGATCCCATTTTCCGATTGATTCTGGGTTTTTGTTCACTATTTCCGATTGATTCTGGGTTTTGGTGTTTTTGTTGAGTAGTTGAGTTAGGGTTCTTGGATTGGGCGAGGTGAGGAATCTAGGGTTGTTGTTTAATTATAAGGAGATATGGGGGACGAGACGGGAAATAGAATGAATCTTGATCTTAATTTGGGTCCTGTTGACCATCCCCGTGATTACCTGGACCTGAGATCATTCCCTCATGGTAGCATTACTTTGGAGGAATTGTTTGCCAGGCAAAGGAGCCAACTTTGGCCCGAATCGTCCCACGGGTTGTTGGTCGATGGCCGAGTTAGGGAAGGAGTTACCCAGAGAAGGCAGTGTAGTGATATCCAGAGATGGTTGTCTATGCAGAGGGATCTAATCCCAGCCCATCTGATCCCGGTCTCGCCCGATGCTTCTTCTGGTGAAAAGGGTAAGGGTGAAGAAGAAAAAGAAGAAGAAGAAGATGATGATGATAATGCAATGAGCTTCTTTGATTGCAACATATGCTTGGATTTGGCCCGGGAACCGGTCGTGACGTGTTGCGGGCACTTGTATTGCTGGCCTTGTCTCTACCGATGGCTAAACCTTCACTCCAATGCAAGGGAGTGTCCGGTTTGTAAGGGGGAAGTCACGGCAAAGACCGTGACCCCAATCTATGGCCGTGGTGGGGGTGGGACTGCTTCACCGTGCGTTGAGGCCGAGGGTTCTTTGAAAATACCCCAAAGGCCTCAAGCCACGCGGCATGAGAGCTGGAGGCAAACCATCCAAAGGTCGGCATTCACCTCCATCCCCGTGGAGGAGATGATCCGCCGGCTTGGGAGTCGATTCGACACGACCGCCAATCCAGAAGAATCCCCCGAAAGACGAAACTCGCTCCTGGCCCGCATTCTCACCTCAAGGGGAATGCGCCGGGAGCAACCGAATACTGTTGAAACGTATCTTCGGAACAATCCCTTTGAAAGAAACCAAGAGGTCTATACAACCGTTGATGACAGAGATTCGGTATCCAGCATTGCTGCCATGATTCAGTCAGAGAGTCAGACGGGCGACACAGTCATGGAAACCGATTCGTCCTGGAGAAGAATCACTGATGTGGACAGCGGTGATTCGCGCCCGCCGAGGAGGAGGAGACTCTACTAATCTCAACTTGAATGCTTTACTTATAATGAAAATAATCTCCTAAAACTTAAAAGTTGTATTTTGTAAGTTTTTGTTTTTCATCTGTTCAATGTGCAATAAAAGTCAGTATATGCACAACTTGTAGCTGTGGATACAATATACAGTTTGAATATATTGTTTTTATTGGCATATAACTCTCAACAAGTTCACTTCTCTTTGTGTGTGTGTAGTAATGTTGCAAATCCAATGAAGTTTGATTGAATCACTACAAGTTATTAGTTGCAACTTAGGAAAAGTGCTATTGATACCACTTTACACATACACAGAAACAATGAACAAACAATGAACAGTGAGGGAAAATCTTTCAGAAAAGAATAGATTAGCCACAAAATATATGGTGGGGTCAAACAAAGATATTTGAGAGGTAAGTTGTAAACCAAATGTATGATGGTTGAGTAATACTCCCTCCCTCCCAATTTAAATCGTCTGTTTTGACTTTTGAGCATATGTAAAGAAAATTAAAAATAGAGTTGATCTTTCGAAATTGACATTACTTTTTAGGAGGGATGATGATGAATGAGAAGATAAGGGGAAGAAGAGTGACTTATTTTAGGGGTAGTTTAGGTATTTTATTTTTAAAAGTTTGCGAAAACAACTAACAGGCAATTTATTTTGGGATGGAGAAAAAAGGCAAACAGACAATTTAAAATGGGACAGAGGGAGTACTACCATAAAACATTAGATACAAGAATATCATACAATCACTCCTCAATGGAGTCTTATATGTTCATTAAACAAAAAAAGAATTACACATTATTTTCAATATATTTGTTGATGCGAAAGATGGAAGCATCGTTCCGAGTCCTTGGGATTTTTCCAATGGAAACGCGTAGGAATATAACTTACGCACCTCTACGAGACCTATCCGGGCAAACTCTAAGGAGTAATTTTACAACTTACAACTCGTCAAAACTCTCACGAGTCTCTAGAGCCACACAAAATCAAAACCCACACATGATAAAAAGCACACAATATTTTTATCAAATTCAACATGCCATACAATGAAAATACAAAGCTTATTTTTTTACTTTTAGTTTCAGAAGTTTGGCACCATGAACCGGCTTCTCTTTTTCGACCCCTCCCCCTAACTTTTGTAAACCAAACAAGGACAGGGGCTTAGATTCTAAAAAATTGCTACCCTCTTTTGTGATAAGAGTTCACAAGACCCATCGGTTTTAAAAATATACTCCGAGATACTTTAAAATATCTGAAACCTAACTTTGTAAGGACTCTCCGTCCATCCCTCTATCATTTCCACTTGCACCGTTATCTTTTTCTTCATCTTTTTTTCAAAAATTGATGTTAAGTACCTTCAATTTTGTAGAAAGAACTTTTAATTGCATATTTTTTTAAAATATACTCTGGGAGTACTTTAAAATATCAAAAAGCTTACTTTGGAAAGACTTTCCCTTTCTTCTTCTTCTATTATTATCATCATCAGCATCATCATTATTATTATTAGATTGCGTGCAACGACAATCCAGCGCAACTTCATAGGCAAGACAATGGTGAAGTGAATAATAATAATAGTAAGGGGGCAGTTCCCATGACATTGTCTGGCCATGTCATGGGATGACCCGAAGGTGCTTCGGTGTCCCGTTCGTAAAATTGACGGTTCCTACTCCTCTCGGTAAACTCCTCCGCCCTGCCCCGACCCGAACACACCCCCCACGGCCCCACCCCCTTCAATTGCACCCCACAAGTTGATTTTGACTTTAGAGTCAAATTTTGACTCCAAAGTTAAAATGAACTTGTGAGGTTCAATTAAAGGGGGTTGGGCCGTGGGGGGGTGTGTTCGGGTTAGGGCAGGGCGGAGGGTTTACCAGAGGGTTAGGGGGTAGGTATCGTCAATTTTATGAACAGAACGCTGGAGCGCTCTCAAGTCATCCCATGACATGAGATTCCAATGTCATGGGAACCCCACGGTAACAACAACAACAACAACAACAACAATAGTAGAAAAATAATACGTAATAGTAAAAGTAATTGTAATAGTAATAATAATAACCGTAATAATATACTCACTCCGTCCCAATTTATTTGCCACATTTGTATTCCCGAGGAAAATATCAAGTTTTTTCAATTCATTTTATTTACATATTGGTAAAGAAATAAAAAATAAAATTTACATATAAAAAAACTACATGAAAAGTTCTTCGAAATAAGAGGTGTCAAGAATATTTTATTTTATCAAATAATCAATGAAAACGTCAAAATAAACAAAAGTTCCCGACACTGCTGAAAAAGCAAATGTTGTGAATATTTAGGGACGAATGGAGTAATAATAATAAAGAAATGGGAAAAAAGAAAGTTCCTCCAGAGTACATTTTTAGATATTTTAGTGTTTTCCATAGTATATTTTTGAAAATGATTGGTCGTAGAATTTCTTCATACAAAATTGGGAGTACCCAACAACAATTTTTTAGAAAAATACAATGAAAAGATAATGAAGCAAGTGAAAATATGACTACGGGATGGACGAAAAAGTCCGTCTGAAGTTAGTTTTGGAATACTCTAAGATACCTCAGAGTATATTTTTAAAAACAATATGAACTGTGACTTTTTATCACAAAATCGAAGATACCCAACAATATTTCCTTTCCCTCGCCTCCTCTTCCTTCTAACCAAAGAACCCCTTAAACTCAGTGAAAATCAAAACGCAAGGATTTCGTTGGGTGGGAGCGAGTATTATATGGAAGTGGCATCCGTATTAAATTGAAGAGAGAATTATACCTATAATGTTCTTCCCACTCACTTTTTACACAGTCAAATTTTTATCACTTTTTTTACCTATTTTCATTAGATATTTGATAAAATAATATAATCTTGTCACCACTTGTTTTGTAGAACTTTTGATGTAATTTTTAAATATATAAATTTTATTTTTTAATTTTACAATCAAATAAATTGAATTGAAAATAAAATCGGTCAAATTTCGTAAAATGAACCGGGAAGAAGATTATAGAAGAGAGGGAGTAGTAAGAAAAGATCTCCATGTTAAATTGATTGCGCAGTCACAGCCAGCTGTTCCTTCAGTTGCCGTGTTCCACAGTACGGAGTAAGCCATTACAGCTAAAAGACACTCATTCCATGATAAGTTTGGATGGTCGGTTGAAAAAAAACCCACAAACACAGACAATTATTGTCTGTGTTTGTTTGTGCAAAGCATAGGTGCATCCATGGTAGCATCCATGTGGTAGCATCCTAGCATTTTCCAAATTTCTAACGTGTCAACAAAAAAAGAGAGATAAAATTGAATTATACTCCCTCCGTCCCACTGTGTTTGTCCACTTACCTTTTGGCACACTATTCAATGCACTTCTTTAATCCATTTTATCTTGTAATTTGTATATTAAAAAATTATACAAATTATATATTAATAATCTATATGTTAAGACAAATCAAACAAGATCACACATAACTATTTTTAGGCTTACACATTAAGAGAATTTGATGAGTCAAAGTATTTAGATGAACAGTTCCAAAAGTCAAATGTGGACAAAGACAATGGGACGGAAGTAGTATTAACTTAGATCATAAAAAAGGGAGGAAAAAAGTGCACCACGTACCCTGATTTAATCCTTCATAATAAAAGATGGTAAAAAAGTACAATGTGAAGGTGAAGAAAAAGTTGTGACAATGATGTAAAAAGTCCATATAATTTCAGCAAAGGAAAAACCAAATGTCACAAGTCAAAATTAAGTGCGTGATTGGTGGACCAAAAGTAAATAGTAGTTTGAAAAAATAAGGGCAGCTCATTAGTTGTACTTTTCATGTTTTGTCAACCAAAAACCATTTAACAAATGATTCAGCAAACACTGAAATGTACAGAGATGACGCAACACAAATACGTGTATATAGAAAGTCTTTGCTTTCACTCTTCACATAAGCATTCATTCAAAAGTATGATTGTTACAATAGGAAGAATTTACAACATCAACCAGAGATGTGTGAGATATCAGAATTACAAAATAGAGTACATCCCATGCCATAATTCATTAAACACGAATCGGAAATGGATCGAACCCACACGGGATTGATTTTCTATCCGGGTTTTGAAGGGAAAAGAAAGTCACAGTGACCACTGAAGCATTGTCATTTGCGCATTTAGTCGACCCGGAATTTTTCGTCCCACAATATGCACAAACAACAATGCCCGTGAAAACTGGAGATTTTTAAGGGTTGGAAATAAAAGTAATCTCCAAACACTTAAATCTGGCTCTCCCAAATAAATCATGACATGGAAGTACTCATTTCTTGAATTTTCTCTGGGTGTTTTATGACTTCTATCTGTCATGTGCAGGGACTGGGAATTCGTAAGTGGAAATTAAACGAAAAAACACGGGATTTAGATGAATACACATTTTTACCTGTAAACTGTAGGCATGTATTGAAAAAAAAATCTCAGGCCTGTCTTGTGTGTGTCATCCACTTTACCTAAGGTTTGGATTGGTGTTGTTTCTGGTATTGGTTTGCAAGGAGTTCGGCGTAAAGAATTTCATTCCAGATATCGGGCACCCCAGGGAGGCACCAATGGCTGCAGTCTTGGTAACTCAATGGAGATCTTCGTTCCTCGTCGGACAAATGTTGTTTCCGGTACATTGATGGGTGGCCATCCTTCCGGAAATCCGTCATTCTCGTGACATTAAGGTATGAGACATGAGTCTTCATCCCTTTCAGTACTCTCTCCAACACTTCCATCTTGGGAGGGTATGGTGTTAGGTACGTCTCATTCTTTATCGGCTCAGCTTCATGGTCGCATGCCCCACCGGAATTCCACTGCCCGCCGCTTTTGTAACATTGACAAATATAAACGTTAAATTGTACGCATTAAGTAACGATGGATAAAATGACACAAAATTGGCACTACATGGATGGATCAAGAAATGTGTAACTTAAACAAAGTCACTACACAGGCTCTATGAGTACTGAATTGATGTTCTTTGTCATTTACCTGAAATGAGAGGCAGAATAGCCTCTGAAGAGAACAAGGGTTTTTGCAGGATTTATATGGGCATCTACCCATCTTGCCCATGTCGTTAAAGCCTTCCGGAAAGCCTCAAGAACATTTAGTTCATGGTACACATGACTGCCTTCTTGGTAATAATCCTCCCTGAAACATTAAATGTTGTTGGATTATCCCACTTTTGTGAGGAAGAGCTGATCAACTATTCATTTCCAATGACCAAACATCCCGTGTATATTTACCCTTTAGAAGTCTTCTCGTGCGTCCACCAGTGGCCCGTGTTGAATACTAAGATGTCTGCATTTTCGTATTTATCAGCAGAATGCCCCACTAAATCAAGTCGGAGAGTTTCCTTTTTCTTTCCAGTTTCATCTGTTATTTCCCATTCTTGAACCAAGAATGGAGATACAAAGAATTCCACTTTAAACTTATACTCCTGCAAATCCATACATTCGGTTCAGAAATAAACCAATTCCCCAAACACAAACAGGGGAAAAACATATATCTATACTCTAAAAGAAACTATGGGGTGGCTTCAATTAGACTACTCACTTCAAACACAAAAGAGTAGGAAGCTTCTCCGCGAAAGTATTGTTTGCCAAATTCTTCATAAACTTTGGTCTGATTATTTACAGAGTTTCTAAGAATGCAGACAAGAGATTCCCACATATTCCTATTCAGAGAATCACCAACAAACACTAATCGCTTCCCTCTCAACATCTCCAGCATATGAGTGGCATTCAATCTGCAATCAAGTTCAGAACACATTATATTCTGCATAGATGAAGTCCTTTTCCCAAACACTAGCAAGAGGGAACATGAAACTTTATTCCAACAAAAATGCATTCCATCTAGCATTCCGAAATTGGAATCTCGCCACCATTCCATGAATGGTTCCAATATTAGCAAAAAAGAACATTAACTCTACATAATATGAAGACTTGTAACTACCCATGAAAGCAAATGAATCTATAATAGATTAGAGGACAAATATAATAATCAGTCAGTAAGATGTTCCGTGTTCCGAATTAGGTACTAATTAAACAAAAAATAAATTCACCCAATAAATAAAGAAATAAAGATTATTAAACTGCATATTACCTTGGAAGAGTACAAGCTTTGGGTTTCCATCTATATTTCTGGTAATTCTTATCAGGCCTGCCATTGATGAAGCAGTTGAATTGCTCGTCAATGAGAGAACAAGAACCAGGCTTGTACAATGGGTAAGATTCATCCATGACCCAATTCCCATCAAAGAAATCACAACTGGACAGTGATTTCATCAAATCCTCACTCCCCTGTGCCGCCGACACACTGGAATTTTCCGTTTTGTTTCCGGTATTGTTGTTGTGTTGCTTCTCCAAATTCTCCTTCCCTCCCTCGGAACTGGACTTTGGCGGCGAACGGACAGTCTGATTCGCCGGAGATTTTTCACCCTCGTCCGTTGCAGTAGTCCGATTTGAGTTCAACACTCCAACTTTACCATCACCGGACACTCCACTCCGAGGGAGATTGCTTACAGTTGATGACTCGTTGTTCAACCTAGAAGAAGCAGTTGCGTTCAAAACCGCGCTCTGATTCGACGGCTTCATAAGTTGAGCACTGTCACTATCAGTATTTGAACGCGTCTGATTTCTCGCGATTTCTGGATCTGTACTGAAATCGAGCACTCCGGAACTGTTCTTCTGAGATGCTGGGAGATTATACGGAGGAGGCGAAGTAAGGTTTTGAGTTTGGACGGAGGAATTCGGGAAAAAGTAGGAGAAAATCGAAGAGAACTGAGATCTGGAAGAGTCACCGGAGGAAGGCGGCGCAGGCAGAGTCCCGCCGCCGCCGTCGGTGCTGCCAGTTAAAGAGAATATGTTGGTGAACCAGGGAGAAGAGGAGTTGGGGGAAGGGCTGAAAGCCAGGAAAATAGTGAAAGCAATGAAGACGAAGACGAATCCGAACGCGCAAACCTTGGTTCTCTGGGCTTTGATTAGAGAGAAATGCGGTTTTAGTTCGGAGAGTAGATTTCCGCCATTAATGGGAGCATACTTTGCAGTATCAGCCATCTTTGAGGCGTTCTGTTCGTTCTGCTGGAATTTGCGGCTTATGAAGAAGAAGAAGACTAGAGAGAGAGAGAGAGAGAGGTAATTGGATTGGTAAATAAAAGGGGGTAACTTTTTTTGAGGTATGAAAGCGATCGAGTTACGGTGAAGTCGGCGAAGTTAGATTTCGCATTGAAAAAGTTAACGGTACTAATTAGTATTTTTGTAAATTTTGTAAACTTTTTATCAAATGTCTAGAACATATATGAGAACTATTATATATGACAATGAGTACCAAAAGATTTGAGAAGGAGTACCAGCACTTATGAGAATTATCATATTCTTATTCAATACAAACATGAATAAATCTTGGTTTTAAATTCTCCATGCTCAGAGAGTATAAATGAGTAGGAACGAATCGAATAAAGGAAGAAGTTGATGATGGTACTGAACTTTTTAATTGTGAAAAATTGAACAATACTTTATTTCAGAATGAACATTTCCTTATTTGAGAATGAGTATTGTTTTTTTTAAAAATGAACACTACGCTATTTATTATAATTATATTAGACAAATGTGTAAAAATGAGTACTTTATTTTAAAATGAGTACTACCTTTGCCAGAATGAGTACTACGTATTAAGAAATAAATGTTTATATTTGTACGAGAATGAGTACTACTTTATTTCAGAATGAGTACTACCGGGATGTACCTAGGAGGGCGGAGAGCAAGATGCTGGAGACGGAGGAGATGAACATGGCGACAAAGACGTTGAGGTGGGCGGCTGATTGAACCCTAATTCTGATCAATTTTAGTCCGACTGTACGGGAAGAACCGTACAGCCGGATGTACAATATAATTTGCAAAAAAGTAGGGGATGTTTCACATCATTTTAGAATCTTATGTCATGGATGCTTCAAAGTCGCTACTATGTCTTATTCGTAAAAGTGGTTGTTCCTACCCCTAACTCCCCTGGTAAATCTCCCCGCTCGGACTCGAACATACCCCACCCCATTGGATTTGCACCCAAGTTAATATTGATTTTGGAGTCAATTTTGAAGGGGTGGGGGTCTGTCCGGGTCGGGTGGGGTAGGAGGTTTATCGAGGGATTAATGGTTAGGAACTGTCACTTTTACAAACGAAGTATCGTATCGATCTCGGGTCATCCCATGACATGGGATTCTAATGTCATTGGAATGGCCCTCGAGTTAAAAAATATGAATTTCGATATTCGGGGTATGATTTTTTTTTAAAAAAAACCACCCATGAAAATATTAATTCAAGTCAGAATACAATAATTCCTAAATGAATGTCAGAGGGACATGAACTCACTCCAACCAATCACACTCTCGAGCAAGCAAATGAGCAACCTAATTCGCCAATCCTCTAACAACTGACAATGTGAGAGAGTATTATTAAACCTTTTGAGCTCTTTCCGTTTTCATCATAACATGGGGTATTTCGCATAAAGTAGACATTAGCCTTGCCTAACCGAGTAGGTTCCCTTAAGATCGTCTCTCCACATCCAGTCATACTCATGCACCCGATTGCTAAGAGGGATCCTCATAATCTCTTTGGTGTCCTCTAAGCAGAAACTACTTCAAGAAGGCCAACATCTCATCTTCGAGTAACCGGATTAATTAGGGTTGGCACTCAAATACATGCACACTCCTCATTAAGGCTAGTTCGAATATAAGGGTTTTCTTTCCTCAACAACCAAGGAGCATTTAGCACTGATGTATCTTCTCCATTTCCGACTCTCCGCACACATTCTTTTTCTAGAGTTCTCTTCCCTAAAATAAGAGACCGCCAAACAAACCCACAATTGTTTCCATAACCTGCGTGGAAAAAGTCACCATTAGGAAAATAGCAGGCCTTGTTAATCTGGTGAACAATTGAAGGAGTGAATTGAGCCTTGTCAACAGATTTCATCCCGGCTTGGCCAATGAGGCCAAATTAAACTAATGCATATGCTGGAAACCCAAACCCCCATCTAATTTTTTCCTACTCAATCGTTTCCAAGACATCTAGTTTATTCCTCGCCCGTCTCGACTCCCTGACTTCCACCAAAATTTATTAACTGTCGCCTCAATATTATATTATTAATATAATATTATATTATTTTTTATCGCAAAAAGTCACCAGGAGATGAAATATTGACATCACACATGTTGGGATTGCTTGAACCACCATTTTAAACAAAATATCCTTTCCTGCCCTGGATAAAATTTTGTTCCTCGAATTCTGAATTTTGCTCCATACCTGCTCCTGAATAAACTAGAACACTTCATTCTTATTTCTTCCCACAATGAAAGGGATGTCTAAGTTTTTTGCCACCCACGCTTGCCTCTTCCACACGAAGAACCTCCTTCACATCATTGTTCCACGGTTCCAGCTTTCCTCCTTATCATCGTTCCACCATTCTAGCTTTCCTCCACACTCAAAATTGAAAAAAAATACAGTCTACAATCAGTCATTCGCCAAATCCAGGAGTGGTCGCCGGCGCTCAAACATCAAAATGTTAGAATTGATTTCATTTTGAATCTCTAAAAAAAGTTCTTTTCAGATTACAAAACTTGTATCTTTTCTCGTAGAATTCAAAACTCATATCTTATAATATCTCCAAAGCTCACCAAACACACTCTTAGAGTGTTGTTAGATTTACTTTTCTTGTTAAATTCACTTCATTTATGGTAATTATCTAATTCTATCCTTAAGTTAATCTACATGTTGACTTTTTTTAAATTTAAAGATAAATTTGTCCATGTTTTATAATAGGTTTTGATTTAGCAAAAGGATGAGTATATTTAGCAACACCAGCTTTTAAATTATGTGAAATTTCATACTTCATCATAACAATCTTGCAAAAAACTTTTCAAAAAGTTATTTTATTGTATTAATATGAAATGCAATCTTTATATATAGAACTAATAATTAAAATTTGTCCAGTTTCAATCAAAAAATTCAAATTGGACAAACATTTTGGATGAAGTGAGTAGAAGCTTAAATTTATGTATCACATGAAACTTTTGGGACATAAAAAAACATGAGTAGTAGCATTATGATTCCAAGGTTGACCCATGAAATATTAAGCTTCCTACAAATTTTGTATGCCTAATAGTTGGGTCTCTTTTTTTACATGGCCCAATGCATACAATCAATTTATGCATTAAGGTTTATAAAATGAGTATGCAATAAAAATCCACAAAAGAATTTGTAAAAAAACCAATGCATCTTTTTGAAGATTAAAAAATAGGCAAATTCTACTATAGATCTAGGGTTCATGATGAATCCAAAGATAAGTCGAATAAATAAATGCTTATTGTTGAGATAAGCAATTTTATTACTTTTCTAAAAAAACAGCTCCCTTCAACCATATTTAATGTTCTCATTTTTTCTCATCCAGAGTTAATGTTCTCGTTTTAACTTTTCATACACATGCAATCATAAATGTTAGACAATAGTTATAGTTTATACCCCTCCGTTTCTTTAAACGCTTCCTATTTTGACTTTGAGCCAACATAAGGAAAGTATAATTTTAGTTGACTTTTTAATTTTGCCCTTGATGTGATGAGTAAAACTAAGATGTGATAGTTTAGTTATTAGTGAAAAAGTATGATGTGATAGGGTAAAAGTGGTTTTTTAATAAAAAGTGAAAGTGTTTAGGGAATTGAAAAAAAAATGAAAGGGAAAGAGTTTTATGGAACGGAGGGAGTATTAATAATGGTAGTATTTGTACGGAGTATTATAGTCGGCTACCATTATTGATTCCTTGATATGTTTGGAATTTATTCTATGTATACTACTCCCTCCGTCCGGGAATATTCTTTCCGGGTTGACTTGGCACGCTTATTAAGGAGTAGTAAAAAATGCCAAATTTCTAAAAATGCACATATTATAAACTTTTAAATCTCCTTTTCTTATTAAAAAAGCAATAAAAAAGTAGATTAGAGATAAAATAGAAGGATATTATTGAAATTTATCCTTAAAAAGTATACTAAAAAAGAAAATGGGAAGAATATGATTCACGAGAAAGTATGAAGTACATGAGGGAAAAATAGAAACACAAATGCTCTATGGGCACAGTAATGAAACTATGAAACCTTTAATTTTCAGAACATGAGATACAACAATGGTATATATTCATGCTTGAGGAGTGCAGACACAATTTCAAGAAATATGCAACAGGACCGACGCACTCCACTCAATTTCCATCTCTTGAGGGGAAATTCAATGGCAATGGGTTACAAAATCATGGAACAAATGTTCATCACAGGCGGCTAACACAAAATTTTGAGCTTGGAAGGCCGCTGCTATGGATGTGAGGGATTTAATTAACTAAACTCCAAACCCAAAAACCGATCGTATCTTGTGAAAGATGAGATCGCGCCACCCTCTCTCGGTGTTCTCCACCACCGTGTCGTTTCCATATCTGCACCCATGTCCATTATAAAGATTAGGCATGGTTCACAAATCAATAAAAGTATCGTTTTTGATCTGTTATGGCTTACCTGTCTTCCTCCGGTATATCACAATGTGTTAGCTTTATGACTGTTACTTGAGGTTCAATCTCATCAAATTCGAGCCGTACCTGCAAACATCAAGGTTCATGTTTGTCACGAATGATGTCTTTCACATAAGACACGTTTGTCATGAATCAACGTCTCTAATCATGAACACATTCTTTTAAAATGCAAAATAAAGAAGCAATCAAAGATTATTTTTTTTGTTCATAGAGAGACATTTTAGTAGGCTTCTCCATAAATTGCCTAGATTAAATGACTAAGGATTCCTTTCTTTTTTCTTCAGACAATAAGTTTGTATCAATCTTCATGATGTATCTGCAAATTCCTGCAAAACCTTAAAGCACATTACTGATGAAATGGGAAACTTAATGCAAACTACTCACTCATCCATAACCCACAAAATCCTTGTAGACATAAGGGGAAATGGACATATAATTAACGAATGGTTAAGCTAAAGCTGATTCATGAAGATAAAGATAAAGTTCTGAATTCATAATACCATGGAATGGATGCCTCGGGGCCAGCTAGAGAACCGCCATTTCTGCACAATCAACTTCCCTTCCTGCAACTCCACAATGGTCCCGTTCACAGACTCGCCGAATATGCTAAACTCTCCTCCCACCTCCTTACTAATCCTCGCATTGCTCTGCGTGAACCCTTTCCACCTGTTTTCATCCATCATTATCTCATACAAATCACTCGACCTGCAATTAAACATCTCTGACATCTTAATGGCCTTAAACCCGTCTTTCTTCTTCTCCTTTGCTACCATTTTCGCAGTTGTCGAGGCATCTTCATCCATAGTACTTCCTCTGGTGGTCTTCTTAACGCTCTTCTTCAGTTCGAGCTCATCCTCAACGGGCCCTCCTTTCGCCATTGCACTCACCCATCTTCTGACCTGTTCCAGAACGAAAGGTCTGGCTCTCGCAACAAAAGCCTCCTTCAATTGATCCCCAAGAGGTGATCTTAATTTCTGGATCTTCCCCGGCATTCTCGTCGGAAATGTAAGGGATTTCAACAGTACCTTCCGTCTTGATCGGCGAATTCCCGTCCGGATCCTTCGCCTCCCCTTCCCAGGAGTGATAAGTTCGTAGCTAGGTATGATTTTCCCCTTCCAGAGATTGACGTAGGCTTCGCCGGCGAGCTTGTCCAGCTTCTTAGTGCGGATGTGGAAGTCGCCATCGCCGTCAACGAGGGTTTGATTGGCTAGAAGCTTGGTGAAGAAGGTGCGTGACCACTCGAGACAGCCGGTCTCCGCCTAGTGCCAGCAGTGGACGTTCGTGCCGTCGGCGCGTTCCTCCACGATCCAACGCTTGTCGCCTTCGCCGTACTGAGTGAGATTCAGAGTAGTGAGCAATTAGAGAAAAAAATAGGTAGTACTCTTATTACATTTACACCAAAAATTGTATCCCATTTATACACCGTAGGTACAAACAAATATTTTGATGGTTTACACCAACACAAATGTTGGTGCATTAACAAAAATTTACACAGACAGAAAGTGTTGGTGCGTTAACAAAAATTAGTTTTACACCAACACAAAATGTTGGTGCAAACCTGCGGGATACAAAGTGGGGTACACAATGTCGGGGTACAAGTAGCTTTATCCAATCTGGAAACATCCACAGCCGGAAGGATCTAGAAGATTAACGGACAGAAAATTACTCACGGGTGACGCGAGTTTTGTGGAAATAACTTTCAGGTCCTTCTATTTTCAAAAAGACAACCAAGGTCCTTATATTTTGTTGTAATGACTGAGAGAGAACATTTTATCCAATACATCATTCGTAAGTGTTAATAAATGAACTTTTTTCCTATTTTTCCAATACTTTTTTTTCCTATTTTGCCATTACCTTGTTTTTTCTTTTTTTAAATTTTTTTTATTTCATTTGTTTTAATATAATACAAACAATTTTGAATTTTTATACGATTTTATAGAAGAAATTCTAAAATAACAATTTAAAAAAATAGTAACAAAATGAAAGAAAAACAACGAAATAAAAAAAGGAGTGACCTAAGATTTATTACCTTAAAACATTTAGAAAAGAATAGGAAAAAAATACATTTATTAACGTTTATAGATGAAATATTGGATGAAATGTCTCCTTCCAGTCATTACAACAAAATGTAAGGACCTCTGCTGTCTTTTTGAAAATAGAGAGACCTGAGAGTTATTTCAACAAAACTCGCGTCACCCGTGAGTAATTTTCTTCAAATTTGGAAGTGGAAAGTAAAGATGAGCCTCCCGAGGACCATTCACACTCACCCTTCAGACTCTACGGTTACTGAAAAAAATAAATTAAATTTTGATCGTAAGTCTCCACTGGATAATTGCAAAGACTCTATTTGTAAATTTCTATCAATGCAGTTGCTAAGAATCGAACTTGGATCTACTCCTTTGCACTCTCACACTTGGACTGGCGGGGTCATGGATAATGGATACCTTTTTAGAACCGATAGCCAAACCAATACAGACAATTCCTATTTATTTGCAAAATCCTAAATAGAAAATTAAGAATGGATAAATTGGTGTACAAGATTCGTTCAAATTAACTAAAAAAAATAAACTTGATGAATGCAAAAATATGGAGATAGTGAATGAGAAAAGGTTAGAACAACTCCAATAAAAGTGGTCTCCAATGCGAAAGCATTTACCTAAGGTCCATGGTGCACCTACAGATAAGCTAAGGCTAATAAGCATTTGCTTAATGTTAAAAAATATTCATAATTTTTTGAAATTCTAAGTGTACCAAAGAAGCATTCTATATCGAAAATAGATTCTGACTTTGATTTTGAGATGCTGGATGGGAGATGTGTGACTTGCGAAGGAGTATTAATTTTGGATAAATGATATTTGGATTATGCTATGTGTACCCCAATGTTTGTACCCCAATTTGTACCCCACAGTTTTGCACCAATACTTTGTGTTGGTGTAAAACTAATTTTTGTTAAACGCACCAACACTTGTGTCCGTGTGAATATTTATTAACGCACCAACACTTGTGTCGGTGTAAACCATCGAAATGTTTGTGCAAGCCTGTGGTGTACAAATGGGGTATATTTTTTGGTGTAAGTGTAGCATGGTCCATGATATTTACACTTTTTACTACTCCAAATTGCACTAAACATGTGATAGAAGTGAATAATGTATTTTGGGATCCATGTTTGTACTCCTTCCATCTGAAAATGTTCTTTCCATTTGATTTTTTTTAGTCAAAATTTTGAAATTTTACTTCGATATGTAAAAAAAGTACATTGTATTATGATATAAATTTAATATTAATATATTTTTATTGAAACGTAGTTTTCAAATATCCAATTTTTATAAAATATATTTATATCTAAATATAGGTATTAATGGTCAAAGTGCAAAATTGGAAGTTCGTGAAAAGTCAAATAGAAAGAACATTTCTGGATGGAATAGTAAAATATTAGGATGCAAATATCATTTACCTTAATTTTAGGAGGAGGGTTCCCATGACATTGGTTCCCAATGTCATGGGAACCAAGGTGTAATTTTAGGAGAGAGGGAATAGTAGTTGTGTAATTGCCTAATTGGGTAACACCCGCCAAAACTAAACCCGACGAAGACAATTTTGTCCTATGGGAGGGACTGAATGCGGTGTGTGTGTTTCTCCAGTGCAAAATTATGAAGAAAGCCCGACCCGTAAAAAATCCGACCAGGAAAACCTCGACGAAAGCCACCAGTTCTTCGCCCAAATCCGCCAACAAGGAAAAGCGCACCGCCATATCTACTGTACCTAATCCAGAACCTCGGTTTAGCCCTTCCCTGTCGGATTTCTTGAAGAAATGGACAATCTTGCCCCCAGATTTCTTCCAAATCGACGCTCTCGATCTCGCCCCGCGCCTGCTCGGCAAGTTCCTGAGGAGAGACGACGTTGTTCTTCAGATTACCGAGGTAATTACTGCTGTTGCTCTTCTTCTTCTGGCATTAACGGTCTATTTGAATGTAAGTGAAATTAGGCTATTCTAGGTTATGAATTCCTAGAGTCCAGCCTACTGACAGAAATTATTTTCAATTTAGTATATTTGAAGAAAAAAATATACTCCGGATATATTTAAACTAAATGTTCAAACTAAATGTCCACCAATGCTCGACATTGTTCCCGCCACTAAGCATTATTCAAGTACTATTTAGGGAATAAAAAGGTTGAAGTACTACATTGAGAAATGACATATGTTTTAATACTATTTAGTGCAAATTTCACTATCAAATGTTGTATGGGACAATATGAGACATGACTATGTGATTTTATCAAATGAGTAATGAAAATAGATAAAAACTAGATAAAGTTTGATGCTCTGAATTGTGAATATGACTTTTATTTTCGGACTAGAGGACTATATGTTTGCTGTATGTTTTTATTTGAATGATGTGGGCTAACTTAATAAGTTGCAGGTGGAAGCTTATAGGCCAGATGATTCTGCCAGCCACGGTCGATTCGGGGTGACAGGAAGGACTGCCCCTGTGGTAAGATTTCATGGCTGCAATCTTAGTAATTCAAAGTAATTAAGGTAAATAGTACAATATAAATGAACCCATCGGCCTGTACAGACGATGACGCATTATAACCATTTGATTCAGCTCTTTTGTGATGCATGTTAAAAAATGCTCAATTCGCTTCATTGTCAAAAATGCATGTTCTGGTAAACCATAAGACATACACAACGATGTAGGTACAATAACAACAAGAATGTAAACCTATTCATAATCCACTCATTCTTTTATAATTTTTCTGGTAATAGGAATGAATGTGTTACATTCCTTATTTAAAGAGATGTATTTTGCCATGTATTGACAAACAGTTTGGTCGCGGTGGACATGCATATGTATACCTCTGCTATGGGATCCATTTCATGCTCAATGTTGTTGCAGACAAAGAAGGCATTGGAGCAGGCGTCTTGATTCGTTCTTGTGCTCCCGTTCATGGTAATTTTACTTATCTATATATTATCAAAGGATTTCAACTTCTTTAAACTGTGTATATTGTGGGTTATAAATGCCCCTTTGCTCTAATGGCTATGTATGCAGGGCTGGAAACCATTCAACAGAGGCGTGGTTTACAAACCGAGAAGCCTCTTCTTCTTACTGGACCTGGAAAGGTGCTTTACAACCTCAGTTTTAATATGCCTAATTACCTACAAAGTTCAATTTCTTGCATGACTGTTAGGATTAGCCCTCTCTGTAGAAAAAATGACAATTTTGTGGTGAATTTCAAAACTGGTCAAAATTCTAGCCAAACTTCAGTCCTCGAAATTATGACTGTTTAACCGAATGATATGATGTTCGGTTACCTGTTTAAGGTTATGAGTTGAAAGCCGATCATACTGACAAAAGCCGACCGGAACATATCGAAGCAAACAAAACCCGACTGGATTTGACAAAAGAGAAACCGACTTAAGCTACTCAGTTTGGTTTTTTTACTTTTCCAATGTTCAAAACCAAACTGACCAAACTGATATGCCCACACCTGCACACCGATTTAGAATGGTGTCAAGTCTCAACTTTTACCAAATTTGAAACTCATGGCCAAATTTTGACAAATTGTTTACCTAAATTTTGGAAAAAGTTTATCATGTTACCTAAATGCAGTGTCTATTCTTTTTTTCGTTTCATAATGTCCGACGTCCATTCTTGTGTATATCTAAATGCTAAGGGACTGGAAACCTATATCTTGATTACTCTTGTTGTGTAAAGTGCGCAAACCGTTCTATTTATGAATTCCAAGGTGGTTGTTTTGCTATCCTACAACATCCATTTGTGTACATTTGTAGGTTGGCCAAGCATTAGGGTTATCGAGGGAATGGTCTAACCATCCTCTATATACTCCAGGCAAGTGTTCCCTTTACAACTACATTCTGATAATGCCTTGTTGATCAACTTGACATCACTCAACTCATTTTGTGTGGGGTAATGTGGAGCAGGTGGCCTAGAGATCTTAGATGGACCACAGCCAAAAGAAATACTTGTTGGTCCAAGAGTTGGCATTGAGTTTGCTTCTCAAGAACATGTTAATGCATTATGGAGATTTGCAATTGCAGGTTCCACTTGGATTAGTGCTCCTAAAAACACTCTCAGACCTCCTTGATTATGGAGCACCGATGTTTATCTCTGTACATATAGAAGAAGAAACTTTTGTTTGTTATTGTATTCTGTATTGGATTTGCAAAGAAGTTATTGAAGATGGTTTCTGGTTCAGTTCATTTTCCCCCTGATCTTGTTTGTGGCTTTAGCTTGGAAAGTCATTTGAAAGAAAGACTCATATGATGGAATACGACGATAGAAACTTTTTGGCCTCGCTTCGATTGACTTTAAACTCTAGAATAACGAGTTTATTAGCTTTTCTCCATTTTTGAGATTGGAGGCATCACAATCCTCAAATTCGCACTGGGTTTTGAACCATATTTGAGAATTGGGTGAATTCCGCATCATTTTAATTGCAGTTTTATCATATCTTGAATGATTTAATTCACAGTAATTCAATCTCAATCATCAAATTCATCCGAACGAGGCCTTGGTTTCCACGATATCTGCCTTCGAAAGCCATATATACTTTGCAATTTAAAGTGGTTGCCATAATCTACACCCAAAATCCCAAATTGACAAGCATCATATATATGCCAGACTATGAAACTGAATATAAAACATATCATTTCTTTCTCATTTTCTGGCCAAAACAAGAAACCATAAAGCCATTTCATTTGGAAGGCACTCAAAACAGAAGTGACACATTTGGGCTAAACAAAAATATGTTACAGACAAACCACAGCTCTGACGGAACAAACACTTGGTGGGGAGCCAAAAGAATCCAAAGAAACCAATTGAATTGAATAAGAAGCAAAACACGTAAACCTGCCCGTGCCTTATCTAAGAACTTGCAACACAGTAAAGAAAAACTGAAAGCCTCTTGCAAATTGTAATAACAAAGTGAATCAACCCATCGCATACAGTACCTGTAGTCAGACATATAGAGAAGTTTGGGGTATCACGTAGTAGTGGTTAAATGTCAGCACACCCCTATAGAAGCTTCCCTCCCGTATTTCCACGTAAATGACCGTAGAACTCTGTGAAGTGAAGTCTGAACATAAGAAACTTCAAATCGATGTGTTGTTGCACGGGCAACTGTGAAATGAACCCCTCAAAGAGGGATGAATATTCCTTGGTGGCCGTGTCAATATCTTTTCCTGTTTTTTGAAGAAACTCACCAACCCTGTGAGTAAGAGCCTTCCTACCCTCCCCAAGCCATGATGAACCACCACCTGGTTCTGAAGAAGATTTAGACTGCCCTCGTGTTTTGACTCGGTCATTTGATGTCATTGATGAGTCTGCAGCTCTGCAGATCAAACACAGAGAAATTAGAAGGATGATGATTGTCATAGTAATAATAATAACAAAATAATAATAATAATAATGGTTTTAGATTTGAAAAATAAAACACCCGGTAAAGATAAAGAATATACTCTCTCTGTCCCGAATGTCATATAAAAATTAGTTCTGTTTGGTGGAGTATTAAATTAGACACTTCTTTTTTGGGACGGAGGGACCGAGGGAGTATTACAATTACATAGAAAGAAAATCAATCAATACCTGGATTGCAACTCATTAATGCCTTCATATAATCTTTCCACGAGACTCTGGAACTGTAATATGAAGTCAAGCAACACAAAAAGAGTCTTGTTAAGAGCTTGGGACCGTTCTCCAAGCATAGATTTCTCAACAATTGAACATAGATACTTCTCATGTGCAACAAGGAGATCATCAAGGTCTTTGGCTAACTCCATTTCCACAAGTAAATTAGACCAAGACACCTCAAGAACTTCAAACATGATGTAGTACTGCAAATTAGAGACAAAATGGTTCATCTCATCCCATAAAACTTGACACTTCCTAGACGTCAAAACCAACTGCAACTTCACATCTCGTGGCAACTTATTAGAGAAGGAATGTGAAGTTATGCAGTTTGGTTTCATTGTCTTCCAAGCAGCGGTAAGTGCATGTTCCACCCTCTTGAGCCTCCACAAGAAATTGAAGATTTTTAAATACCTTGCCATAACAGACTCTGTGAGAATTGTGTTTAGTGGGACCCGAGCATCATATTCCAATGAAAACACATCCCACCCTCTCTCACCCGGGTTATGTGGCATCATTTTAACCCTCAATCTGTCAAGTATATCAGGGTCATCATACTGTGCATTGGATGATCTGATTGCACTCTCCAATAAACCTGCTAACTTGAACGAACTGATTGTGTTGGCGGGTTGTGATAGATCAGGCCCCACAATATCCATTAGGTACTGCACGAAATCACCTTGCCCGAGAAGCAAATAACGTTTGATCGCAAAACAGTGTTCCTTGAATTTGTACCGATTGTGCATCACGTCTAGTAAATGCTTGTCAATTCTTCTGGATGCTTCTGTGACCAAAGATTCAAGTGCATCCGTCTCACCATACCTGAGACTACCCCTAGAGGTTGTAGTCCCCGCTGCTGCCGCGGCTTCCTTTGCTGCTTCAGCCCAACCCCCATCCTCACAACATACCCTAAGAAAATTTATTGACTTACCAGTCCTTAGAATTTGTTGTGCGAGAGACTGAGAGATGAATGAAGGAAGCATTGCAGAGTGAAGGCGGTAGACTTCTCCCCAGAGTGACTCTGCTTTCACTGGTTGACTAACGATGAAAAACTCCGAAAACAAGTCTTCGAGCTCTCCTTCAAGAACCCATGTCCTTACCATCTCAAAAAGAGGAGAGCACACCCTATGGAGCAATCTTTTCATGAAATCCTTCACAAGTGGATCCCCATGCTGAGCATGCATGTGGATAGCCCCGGCCATGGATCCTCCTTTTAAAACTCTACAACTGTCAACCAAGACAGCCATTAGTCTCATCTTCACTGTTGGTTCCGCAAACCAAACAGATAGTCGTCTTAACGACAGATAATTGCCCGAAGTTGCAGTTTCTGAAACCAGTGGGATGGGATTCATTGCTTGTGCTTCAAGAACCGACAACAGTTTGAAATACTCTGACAGCTCATCTTGCAGGACCGCACAAAATGCTTGTCCAACAGTTCCTATATCCTCTGCAGGGAACCTATCCATGCATTCTGAATTATACTTGTTGACTTTCTTGAAAAGCCATCCAAGCTCACAGAGCTTCCTAACCATGGTTCTAATTGCTCTTGGAGCTTTTACCAAATCAGAAAGAACATACCCATCGGCATTTCTATCAAACTTGACATACCTCCCATCAATCCCTTGACAAGCATACAGGACATCGCGCACCAAAACCTCCTCGGACACCTCATTCTCCTCCTCCAACAAGTTAGTGAATTCATGATATGCCATATCACGCATATTCTCAGGATCCTTTGAAACCATCAAAACCCCTCCATGCCAACCCTTCACTGTTTCCTCCTTTCCTTTGATGAACCTTGAACTATCAACCAGACGCCTGGAATTCCTGGAATCCTCACTTAATGCACCATCAATAGCAATCTTCTCTCCTTTTCCAGCACTGGTTGAATTTCCATCCAAATCCCGCAATTTTTTAGGAAACCCCAATGCGCTCGAGTTTGAAGCCCTAGTTCCAGCTCGAAAATTACCATTTGAATGTCCCTCAGATAACAAGGGTAGTCCACCAGTCAAAGCGGAGCTGAAGGCCCCAGCCGAAATCCCAGAAAGTGGGTGGCTTTTCCGGGACATTCGATCTTCGGAGATGGTTTTGATCAAATAGAGCAGACCCCATTTGTTTTTAACACTTCCAGGGCCGGTTTTGGAGGAGAATTTTGAAAAGATATCGGCAAAAGTGAGGGCTTCGGAGGACTTACCTTGGGTGGCCAACTGGCGCTTGATGGACTCGGCCATGGCGGCCTCATCGGAAGCAATTTTAGGAGTCAAGCGGCTGGAGAGGATGCGAACCGCGTAGCTAAAAGCTTGCTGAAACTGCTGCTCCGATGGGCTAGGGTTAGGGTTAGAGGCTGCGGAAGTGGCAGCAGACTGTAATGAGGTGCAGAGTAAACGGTGGACTAGCTCTTTGACTAGATCTATACTTCTCTGGCCGTCGTCCGCCATAGTTGCCGGAGGAGAATTCCTGCCGGCGGCTTTGGAGGATTTTGTATTTTGATTTTGATTTATCATGGGCGCGGAAAATGACTCCGTATTAAATTAGATAATCCTTCTGCCCCTTTACTCTTTTTTTTTCATCCTTTTTTATTGAGTAATTTACCTAAATAGGACTAAAACATAATAACTTTCTCAATATAAGACTATATATTTTTATTTCCCTATGTAGGACCATTGATCATTATTTATTAGTCATTATTCAACTAAATGTCCAGCATCACTTGGACATTAATCTTCTTACTGGTCATTATTAAGTCCTATTTAGGGAATAAAAAAGTTTAAGTTATACATTAGGAAATGACTTATGTTTTAGTCCTATTCAGTGCAAATTTTACTTTTTTATTTTCAATGAATACACAATGAATACACCCAAGAAGTTGATCAAATGCTTTTCCATTTGTAGACTAGAATAACTTATTCTTCTTCCATTTGATGACTTCTAGAGAGATGCTAGTTGTTGGCTTCATGATATTTTTACGATGATATTTAGATTGGTTGAAAATATTTTGAATGATTATGAAAACATTATTCTATCACCTCTCCCGTCTCCTACCGCTTCTTAGGTGATAATGGTTGGCAATGGGCAAGCTTAAATAATAAGAGTGAATGATACGAGTAAGCTAAATAAGAAGAGTAGTTGCAATGGGTAAACTAAATGTGTACATATATTTCCGAACAAATATCTTTCAAAAAACTAAGAACGAAGAAGATATTGCGTAATTGTGTCAGATAATAAATGGTATATGATGAGCGTGACAAAACTTGATGGACTTAATGAATTATTTGAAATACACTTTCAAGTTTAAAGTTATTTTGGGAATTCGGGATATATCAAAATATTTCAATTGGATAAGACCTAAGTATCTATAACGAGTATGGAAGTTCTGTATTTATTAAACATACCTTTGACTCTATATATGGAGAGAACAAATTCTAAACGGACGTGCCTGTTGTGAAACAACACAACTTATCGTGAAACATTCAAATGTTTGAACTCAAACATTTGAATGTATATAACAGTTAACATGGGAGCAGTTTGCTTCTGCAATTTTGTGCAAACCATTGTATCTATTCGCAAAATATTTCGTGCCTTTTTGCAAAGATCTAAAAAATGTTGAAGATAAATTATACATTCAAATGTACATTACATTAGACCTTGTTTAATAAAATTCAAAAAAAAATACATAATACAACAACGGTCACTTTAGGGGACTACCTCCCCCGGACGCCAAGTATAGAATTTGTACTGTAATATCATTAAATGAGCGTGCACTCTGTACCTCTAAATTCGTTGAAAACATCAATTGAAATTTTTCATTCCATCCAAATAAATTCAATTTTTGAAGACTATAAAAACTAAAGGGTGTATATATGGTTAGAGCTAACTTTAAAAACCAAAATGGTTGACATTCAATCGGGGTAAACTTAAATGATTTAGAGCAAATTTCACTTATCTCATTCACTTTTCACTCTTTTCAGCGTGATTTATCAAAAATGTTGTCTCATATAGAAGAATACATGTTTATTTAAAATAATCAAAACTAAAGGTGACTCATAGACATTTAAATCCGAAAATAACTGGTCATTTGCATATTTATTCCTAAATTCCAACATTTCTTTACTTGTATTTGTTAATTTTTATTACTTATTTGATAAAATAATATAATTTTATCGTCTTTCAGTTTGTAAAATTTTTTATGCACATTTTACATATGTAAAGTATTAGAGTATAATTCTATACTAATTTCAGACAAATATCATAAACTAAAAAGAATTAATAGCGGAGTGAATATTATCGGGTTTCACATTTTAAGGTGTCACAATTATGCATTTGTTTATATTTTATAATCACAAATTGTGTTAACTTTAATCATGGTAATTTTCTAAATACTAAAATGTTCCTAATGGGGCATAAAATGAGTTGAGAGGAAACAAAATAACCAAAGAAAAAGTGGGTGGTTAAGAAGAAAAACGTCCAACCGATTTTCGGGCAAAACTGGAAAATCTCACCATTTTCCCTTTCTCCCGATTTTTTGCAGCAGAAACACAGGCAAAGAAAAGGAGAAGAAAAAGAGGAAAACATTCCTTAATTTCTTTTTCTTCGTCTTTTTTTCTCAATTTGTCCCTTGAATTTCATCATCATATCTATCGCCACTCAAATCAAAGGCCAGTTTTTTTTTTTTTTTCAATTTCGATTTGAGGCCAAACCCATGGGTCTCGTTTAATTTCGTTCAGATTTTAGGCTGATTATGATGATGATGATGATGAGCGGCGAATTGTAATTGGGGAATTGATATTTGGTCGGCATTGTTGCTTGTTTAATTCACCATAGCCGCCGCCGGCTGACGATTGATTTGATTTGATCGAATAAGGGTAGCTCCGGCCGCCATAAATAAGCTCAATATATAATAAAATGTCGTGTNGAAAATTAAGTCGACACAGGTCTCAGAAGATTTGCTCCGATACCATGATAAAAGTATTGTGAAGCATTTATGTTTATTTCTCCAAGGGTTGTGTTGAATACAGAAAACTCCTACCCTATTTATAAGCCAAGAATCCAAATCCTAGAAGGAAACCAGTAAACTAGGAAACACAGAGTACAAGACCAAAATAAACTAGGAAATCACTTAAACCAAATCCTCAAAGGATTCGGCCTTCCAGTGTGCGTGCAAGCCAAGGAACGAATTCTCGTTCCGTAACACATAACCTCCGCCATGGGACAATTGCTGCACACATGGCCAACAATCCCCCCTCAACAATTGCTCCCGCTAGGAATCGAATTCGTGACCTTGGCTCTGATACCACTTGTAGGACCTGAGACGCTACCAACTCTTCTAAAACCAATTGTTGTTAGAAGATGCGCATACCCTAGCCTTATAGTGCATTCAACACGCAAGCGCCCACGACATTCAACTGTGACTCGGCCCACATAGCCTCCACTACGGGACAATTGCTGCACACATGGCCAACAAAAAGATCGGTGGAGATGCCGCAGCGAGTTGGACGGGCGTATGGTGGCGATTTTGTTGCAGATGGAGTGTGGAGAGGATTCAGAGCATTGATGAAGGCAAGGGGAACTCCACAGTCCACATTCCAGTCGACCCGACAAGGTAAAACGTGGGTAACTTTCCAGAAAAAAGGGAAGATTTTGGCGATTGAATTCCAAAAAAGGCAAAGTATTTCCAATCAGTGACAAAGGAAGTCGGCGACTTCCTTTGAGAAAAAAAAGAAGTCACGTGTTGGCCATTCTTTCTCCCATTATTCCATCCCTTCTTCCCTTATTCATTTAAATCATTCAACCTCTTTTCAAATTCAACCATTAAATTACCCTACTCCTTTCCCCTTTTCACATATTCCAACCTTTTTTCAAATTCAAACACTCTCCTCCCTTTTCCATCCCATTATCTTTAATTTATACGGAGTATCTTTTAAATTTCTTCCTTATTCAAATCATCTAAATTTTATCATAATTCACAACACAACACATCTCCATTCTACACTCAATTGAAAGATATGTTATTAATTTTTTAATTTTTATTCTTTAAAATCATTATAATTTTTTTTGGCTAAAATGATTAGACTTTGTTTTTATTATCATATAAATTTATTAAGTTGTTAGAAATGTGGTATTTAGTGTATGAAAAAATGAATCAAATAAATTCTTATGATAGATATATGTTGCTTTTATATTTTGCATTTGTAAATAATAACTTTAGGGAAGTTTTGTATATATGGTAGAAATATATTTAGAGTATATTAGAGTAAATTTTTTTTTGTTTCTTTTATGTTTCATACATTATTATGCTCCAAGATGGAAGTTTTGTATATATGGTAGATATATATGTTTCTTTTATGGAGTATATTTTCTTTTATTTCTCTTATATTTTCTTGTATTTGCATTTAATTTTAATGAAGCAATGGACCAAATTGAACGTGATATTGCCGGTCCTCGAAATGATGTTGTGTTAACGCTTCAACAGAAACATCGTTCAAGACGCGTTTGGGAAGAAGAAGATTTTCTTGATGCAAAAGTTTTTTGTTGTTGGTATGACGCCGGCGTTGAAAACTCTTACGAAGATGATCGGATAGAGACAAATCTCAGAACTGCTGGGTTTTACGGGGTGCATCGTGTTCAACCCATTAAATTGGATCACAATTTAATCACGGCCCTATTGGAACGGTGGAGACCGGAGGTTCATGCCTTTCAGTTCCCTTTTGGCGAATTAGGGATTACCTTACAATATGTTGAGTGTCTTCTTGGATTACCTGTGGATGGTGAACCCATTGTTTTTACGCAAAATGTTCCGCGGGAAACCTATTCACAGTTATTTATGAGGGTTCTTGACTTTCCGGTGGATGACACTGATTTTGGGTCATTGGGGTTTAACTTGCGTAGACTAGAAGGTCGAGACCCATTATCTGAGGATATATAGCACTTATGAGGAAGCAGTTCAGTATACTACAGAGATTATTTTACAGTTGATTGGAGGTTTGTTATTTCCTACTACGTCAAACACATATGTGAGTGTTGACTTCTTGCCATACTTGGCAAATTTGGATGACATTCATCGATTCAGTTGGGGCTCTGCTGTCTTGGCAAACTTGTATCATAATATGTGCAAAGTAGTGTTACGGAGAACTGATACCTCAAAAATGAGAGGATGTGCTTTGCTTCTGTAACTTTGGGCTTGGACACGGCTAATAACAATATGCCCTGAAACGTGCAATCTTCGACGCGATGTTCATGGACCACTCCGTAATGAGGGAGACGAGCCATATGGCGCACGGTATGTGAAATGTTGTATTTATTTTTATAAATATTACTACGCATGTTACTAAAATTCAAATTTAATATATTTTTAATTTTTAGGTGGCAAATTAGGAAATTATTTGCCCGGAATAATTTCCTAATTCGCCACCTAAAATTTAAAAATATATTAAATTTGAATTTTAGTAACATGCCTAGTAATATTTATAAAAATAAATACAACATTTCACATACTGTGTGAAATTGGCTCGTCTCCCTCATTACGTAGTGGTCCATGAACATCGCGTCGAAGATTGGGCGTATCAGGGCATATTGTTATTAGCCGTGTCCAAGCCCAAAGTTGCAGAAGCAAAGCACATCCTCCCATTTTTGGAGTATCAGTTCTCCGTAACACTACTTTGCACATATTATGATACAAGTTTGTCAAGACAGCAGAGCCCCAACTGAATCGATGAATGTCATCCAAATTTGCCAAGTATAGCAAGAACTCAACACTCACATATGTGTTTGACGTAGTAGGAAATAACAAACCTCCAATCAATTGTAAAATAATCTCTGTAGTATACTGAACTGCTTCCTCATAAGTGCTATATATCCTCAGATAATGGGTCTCGACCTTCTAGTCTACGCAAGTTAAACCCCAATGACCCAAAATCAGTGTCATCCACCGGAAAGTCAAGAACCCTCAAAAATAACTGTGAATAGTTTCCCCGCGGAACATTTTGCGTAAAAACAATGGGTTCACCATCCACAGGTAATCCAAGAAGACACTCTAAGGTAATCTCTAATTCGCCAAAAGGGAACTGAAAGGCATGAACCTCCGGTCTCCACCGTTCCAATAGGGCCGTGATTAAACTGTGATTCAATTTAATGGGTTGAACACGATGCACCCCGTAAAACCCAGCAGTTTTGAGATTTGTCTCTATCCGATCATCTTCGTAAGAGTTTTCAACGCCGGCGTCATACCGACAACAAAAAACTTTTGAATCAAGAAAATCTTCTTCTTCCCAAACGCGTCTTGAACGATGTTTCTGTTGAATCGTTAACACAACATCGTTTCGAGGACCGGCAATATCACGTTCAATTTGGTCCATTGCTTCATTAAAATTAAATGCAAATACAAAAAGATATAAGAGAAATAAAAGAAAATATACTCCATAAAAGAAACATATATCTACCATATATACAAAACTTCCATCTTGGAGCATAATAATGTATGAAACATAAAAGAAACAAAAAAAAATTTACTCTAATATACTACAAATATATTTCTACCATATATACAAAACTTTCCTAAAGTTATTATTTACAAATGCAAAATATAAAAGCAACATATATCTATCATAAGAATTTATTTGATTCATTTTTTCATACACTAAATACCACATTTCTAACAACTAAATAAATTTGTATGATAATAAAAACAAAGTCTAATCATTTTAACCAAAAAAATTATAATGATTTTAAAGAATAAAAATTAAAAAATTAATAACATACCTTTCAATTGAAAGTAGAATGGAGACGTGTTGTGTTGTGAATTATGATAAAATTTAGATGATTTGAATAAGGAAGAAATTTAAAAGATATATAAATTAAAGATAATGTGATTGAAAGGGAAGGAGAGTGTTTGAATTTGAAAAGAGGTTTGAATGTGTGAAAAGGGGAAAAGGGTAGGGTTATTTAATGGTTGAATTTGAATAGAGGTTGAATGATTTAAATGAATAAGGGAACAAGGGATGGAATAATGGGAGAAGGGATGGCCAACACGTGACTTCTTTTTTTCTCAAACGAAGTCGCCGACTTCCTTTGTCACTGATTGGAAATACTTTGGCTTTTTTGGAATTCAATCACCAAAATCTTCCCTTTCTGGGAAGTTATCCTAAAATTGGTTCCACGCCTGCCACATCAGATGACATCCCCTGTTTGCAAGGCATGGAGGAAGCGTTCCACCCCTCTTTGCGAAGCTTGTCCGTGGCACTTTTGCACCATTTTTTTCTTTCTTTTTGTTAAACTTGGGACAGCTCTAAACATTTGTTGTTTAGTGCTTGTCCGTTGCATCCAATTTTTGAGTTTTGCTTCATTCTTTTTCTTCCTTTTTTGGGTTTTTTAATGAATAATATTTTCCTATAAAGAAGTAAAAATATTTTTATGATAAAATAAATAAGTAAAACAATTAAAAAATATTTTTATATAATTTAATTTAAAAAATTTAAAAAAATAATTTCCTCTTTGTACAATTAAAATCTTTACAAGAAAATGCAATGATTTATAATAAAAAGCACACATGGACGAATTAAAATATGTCAAAAATGTTAATATTGCCAAAAAAAGATTACATTTATTTTTATTAAAAAAGATAAGTAAAATAATTTTTAGTAATTAAAATATATTAAAAATGTGTAAAAAATGATAAAAGGAGTGACATGCCACTTCAAGACATGCCACTGCACTCATGTACCACACGGTGACTGGACTACTTTTGATTGGCTAAAATACTTCATGTCATCGTGTGGCATTCAATTTCTTAGAGCATTCACAACGGCAAGTAAGAAATAAAATGACACGCGATGACATGGAAACTTTCAACCAATAAAAAACAGTCCAGTCAGCGTGTGGCATGAGAGTGGAGTGACATATCATGCAGTGACAAATCATTGTTTTTATCAATTTTACTTTTTTTGCACATTTTAATTATTTTAATTTATTTTATTTATATTTTTTTCAAATAAAAAAATAAAAATATTTCAAAATTATTTAAATTATTTAAATTTATTTTTTTTATATTTTTATAAACTATACTCTTTTTAAAAATATTTCTTATTTAAAAACAAATTGCTTTTTTTTTTCAAATTTTACATTTTTTACATATGTCTTTTTTTACTACAGAGTATTAAAAATGAATTTACTTAGGTTTTTTTCCAAAAAAATACTTCTACTTTTAAAAAACTTTTATTTTATGGAGGAAAAAAAACAAGAATATTGCCTTGCCCATTACTTGCCAAGCATGACAAATCACTATAGCCTTGCGAGGCAACAACAATAATAATTTGCTTATGTGGCAGGCGTGGCAGTGGCACAGCCACGCCACTGCCAGTGCTCTTACTTGCCATCGTCATGCTCTTAGTTGCTCTTCTGTCCACCGTAGATCTTCTCAATAGGGGTGGACACGGTACCGGTACGGTACTGTGACCGGCGACGGTACCGCCAGTACCCGCCACCGTCACCACCGGCCAGGACGTTTCACCGGTTCCGGGAACCGGTACCGCCCCCTCCGGTACCGGTTCTGGTACCCATTTTTCGGCACCGGCACCAGCTGTTTCGGTTCCGGTACCGTTATTAATTTTTTTATTTTTATTTTTTTATTTCATTCTTTCCTTTATCAATTTCATTTTTAGATTTTTTTATTTCATTCTTTCCTTTAACAATTGCATATTTACAATTTTACACTTTAAAAATTTATTTAAAAAACAAAAAAAAAAAATTGGGGGTGCTCGAAACCGGCTGGTCCGGTACCGGAACCGCCGGTCCGGGAACCGGTATCGGTACCAAGGGGTGGCGGTACCGGAACCGGCGGTTCCAGAACTGGAACCGTCCCGGAACCGTACCGTGTCCACCCCTATTTCCCAGACACTATTCACAAGGTCAAACTTAATTCATTTTGTTTATTTGTTTTTACTACTCATTTCATAAAATAATACTCCCTCCTTCGGAAATGTTCTTCCCGTGTTGACTTGACACGCTTATTAAGGAATAGTAAAAAAATGCAAAATTTTCAAAAATACACATACTATAAACTTTTAAATCTCCTTTTATTATTAAAAAAGTATTAAAAAAGTATATTTGTGATAAAATAGAAGGATATTATTGATATTTAGCCTTAAAAAGCATACTAAAAAAAGAAATGAGAAGATTATTTCCGGACGGACCAAAAAGGAAAATGGGATGAATATTTTCGGACGGAGGGAGTATATTATTGTCACATCTAGTTTTGTATAATTTTTCATATAGTTTATTATTATATAGATTTTATATTAAAACTGTATCCATATATTTAAATAAATTGAATTGAAAATAAAGTGGGTCAAAAGTATTAAGGCGCAATGGGATGAACTGAGGGAGTATTAAACATGACGGCTGCAGTTTCGAACTTATCCCATTTCGTTTTCAGACCAGATAGAGAAAAAAGACCAGGAGAAAGAAATGTAAAGAAGAAGAATCAACGATGAATTTTTCCGGCGAGTGACCGTACACGTACAGCGTATTCGAAAAATTTAAGGCCAGATCAATTGGAGAAAGGAAAATCGCAAGATTTGATGGAAATCCGAGTTGGATGTAGACTGATAGTTCAAAGGTAAGAACAGCTAATCGAGTATTAAGAAATTCTCTTTTCGCACCTTTAATTTTCAATCTGAAATATGAGATTAGATTTAGTGTTATGTGCATATAAAGGTAATTTGGAACGATGAGGGCGTTTTTTTTAAAATTAGTGTTACTTTTATATTTCTTTTATGATGTTTTAATTGAAACTTTGAATTGATGTTCATCCCTTGATGCATGCGAGATCTAATTATCCAAAAGTGACAAAGTAAAGGTGCAAGTTTTTTTTATTGTGTACAAATAAGTTATTTTTTCCAAAGTGTAAGCTTTTGAGTTCAAAAATGTTTACTTTTGTGTGCCTGAAACTGTAGAAAGGCATGTATTTAGATATCTAAATGTAATGGATTAAGAGGATAAAACACAACATATTTGCATAGCACTGGTAATACGTTTGAAGCCCCCGGGCTTCAAACCGGGGCTTCAAACTTTCTCTCTCTGCCACGTCAGCTTTAACTTACACCCAAAATTCACTGGAAATGGGTTTGAAGCCCCGGGGCTTCAAAACTGGGCTTCAAACCTTCATTTTTTACATTTTAAATATACATCTTCTAAAATTAAATCAATAAAATGTACTTAATTTATTATTTAATTAAATTGAAACACGAATAATAAAAAAACACATTAATTAAAAAAAAGTGACAATAATTTTTTAAAAAAAGATACATTAATAAAAAAACCAAGGTAAATTATATTTCTCCTTGATCTCTCTCATTCTTTGCTCGTAGATAATTCGTCCAAACTCCGACAACGTCCCGGGGTCGGTTTGCATGACTTTCATCTCAGCCTCCTGCTCCTTTAGATTCAACTCCTTCTCTTTAAGCTTCAACCTCTCTTGTTCTTGGAGATTGAACGCCCGAAGTTGTTCAATCATTGCCCGGCCGATTTCGTCGCGGGGAGAAGCGGAAACAGAGGCGGACCCTCCCGAACCAGAGGCAATGAATTTTGCCTTCTTTCTTCCAATCGGCCGTGGAATGGGGTCCTCGTCATCGGAATCCGCAACGTTGAAGGGAGGGATTTGATCGATAGAACCAATGGTCTCGTCGACCTCAACCTCGGCGTCGACGGTGGATCTTTTCCGGAACGATCCGCCGTCGGGATTGTTGAGTTGTTGCCACTTCGGGGAGCGACTCAAAATCCTCCAAAGATCGATGGGCACCTTGCCTTGGTTCCCGTCGTCTTGATACCAGGTCGTGGCAAGCCGGAGAACATCGGCGTCGTTCGTGCCGCTCCTCCGGGACCGGGAGCATTCCTCGTAAACTCCCATAAACTTTCGGACTTTTTTGTTGATGTGACACCATTCGGAAGTGAGTTGGTCCCGGGTTCGGTAGGAGCCGTCCTTCTTCATCGCCGTGAAGAACTTCTCCTCGATACGATCCCACATCGCATCCTTCGTTTGCTCCGTACCTTTAAAAATGTATTACACAATTTTTTTTAGACACCAGTAAATATAATATATATAAATAAAAACATAAATACATTATAAAAACTAATTTTTTTACCAATAATAGGATGCTCGGAGACGTCAACCCAAGCCGACGCCAATATGCACTCCTCCTCCGGCGACCACTTTTTGATTGATCGTGCCGCCTCGGTCAACGTGCTCTTTTGGCTTTGTGACTTTTCCAGCGTGTACTTTTTTTCGATCCGGACGGTTCCGGTTGAGTCTCCGGAACCGAATCTCAGTCAACGTACCCCAATTGTTGCGTCTCGTACATCGGCGGTCGATCGCCCAACTCTTAGTAATACCACATCGCGGCGTCGACGGGCGGGAGATCGTCGGGAAAGAAGCCGGAGCCGGAAGGATTCATGTTCAAAATTGGTAGGGGGGTTTGAATTTCGAAATTTAAAAATAATAAAGAAGAAGAGATTGAAGAGAAGGTGTGAGAGATTGGTTTGGGGGGGTTGAATTTATAGGATTTTTTTTTTTTGAAATGTGGGCTGCAACGGCTAAAAAAGCCGTTAGGAGGGAGGGGAGAAGACTCACGCCGCGTCATTCGTTTGATGCAGGGCTCCTCACGCCCCTTTAACGCCGGCGGGGGGCGGTGTTTCACGCCCCCGGGGCGTTAAATGCCCCGTAACGCCGGTGGGCGTGAGGAGTATACCCAGTGCTCTTACTCATTTCGTATATGAATTAGAGAGGCTTACAATTCATCAGTACTTACCAACTTTAACCACTTTTAGGAAGCTGTATATAAAGTATAATTTTTTTAAAAACCACTTATAACATGACCAGTCATTGACACAGTTTTGGAACTAAAGTTTTAATGATTCATGATTGTCATTATAGGTTTGTAAATCATTATGCTTTCATGTTGTTAATAAGTGGGCAATGTTATAAAAAACTGTGACTTTTTATTCTGTAAGAAGTAAACTCAAAAGTAAAAATAGTGATGAAATAGTGTTATATACATATTCATGTTAATTAACTTCTGTATCTTTATCTGTATATTGAAAAGTAGACAAACATTTAAAATACTTAAGAACATGACTTCATTATTTTTTTCTTTAAGGTGTTTATGGACTTTCTTCAAAAGGGGAATATTTATAGTAAATGGCAGCAAAGGTAAGTAAGAGTTAGGAATATATGAAAGAATTGTTGATGGATTAGGTTTTCAATAATCAAGTATTTTTTTCATTCACATTTCTTAGGCTGATGTGTTTTTCTATTTATTATTACTTGTGGTATGTAGCATAAGAATTGAGGTATGCTGTGTGGGAATAAATCACAGATAAGAACGCATACCTTTTTCATTTGAGTATTGAGTTTGAAGTTTGTTTTGTTGACATTTTTTTTGGCCAGACTTTAAATCAATGATAGTCTGCATGAAAAATAAATTTACCAATACAGAGTATAAATTTCCTTGACTCTAGGTTATTTTGGAAACATGGAATATTTAATGGGGAATATGTTTTAAAAAGTACTCCGTAATTCTGTTTATTTATTTCCAGCATAGGATGTATTTTAAAGCATGTAATATTTAATCTTACTCATATGATTTAAATAAGAGAAGAGACAACTTCTCAGTTGAAGCTGTCTTCATTGCATGTAACATTATTTTCTCATGAATAAGGAGAAACATACTCCGTACAAAGCAGTACATGAAAGTGAACAACAAACTGGAATTTATATATTTAAGTGACAACAAAGTAGGTTTAAAAGATGAAATAACAAAATATTGTAAAGTTCTAGAATGAATATTGTAAATGACTTTTAGACAAGCTGAAAACTTAGAGTATAATATTAAAGGATATTGTAGACATAGGCACCTCAAAGTTCTCAGTGATCTCTTCAATTGTCTTAATCTCCATACTTTGAGATGCTGATCTGGATGTAGATCCACTGAAAGTTAGTACATTCTGGGTAGTAATTCCTTTACCCTTCAAACTGTAACAAATTGTGGGTCCATAACATTCATTTATCAAAAAGTGGTGAAGGACATATTGCTAACAGGTGTAGCAAATTATTCTTACTCTTTTTTGAACTCCAAAATAGCTGGAAATTCCTGATCCAAAATCAGTTTCGTTACATCAAAATAAGTCGATGCCTTGTTCATCTCTGCATATTATTTAATGTACCTGTTAGTACTAATGTCTTGTATTTTAAATGTGTTTATTTTTTGTAATACCTTGAAAAACAGTTCCTTTACAAAACTGCATAATAGCAACAACCGGATGCAGTGGTTCTTGCTTGAGAAAATCTAAGAGTTGGTCAACATACGAGCTCCATTCGTGCAAGAAATTCTCTCACCACTACAGGTAGAGGTCAGTTTTCACATAATGCATATAAAATAATATGTAAGGTAGAGTGAAAAAAAAAAGCAGTTTAAGATGTACTCTAAATCTTCAAGGCAAATATCCATCACTCTATTTAAGTTAATTTTTGTGTTCTTACCAAACATGGGTGCTGCAGCAGTGGAGATCGTAAGAACACTATATATATATATATATATAGACACACACACACAATAAACTTTTAATTTTGTGTATCACTACATTTCCTAGATCAACGAAATATGTCTCCAAATTGGAGACCTCTCAGAAGGCCCCATCCGGCCAGGCCTCGGGGCGTTGTGAAATTAAGACTACTACGACAGTATGATCTTAAGACGAGGAAGTATACCCAGAGCACAATATATGGACACGAAGCTATTATCCATTATCCAAGATGAACATGTATGCATATACAATTTCAAAACGTGTAGTTTGTGCTTCTCAATTTTGTTGTACAGTTCGTAATATTATTATAATTTGTAGGGAAATCGTATACATGCATTTTGTGAGAAGCCATTAATCGGACACTTCAAGCCTTTATTAAAAGAGGGACAAGTGCATGGTATACAAAATCCAATTGTCACAAGGAATACTCAAAAATGTGACGGACTATCTATACAAGACCATTCAGGGCTTTAAAATTTTGAAATTTGAACACTGTTTCAGGGAATTCTTCATCGTTGACGTTTGTTATATATAAGTGTGGCTTTAACAAATGATAGTTTGTATAGATGGTCCGTCACGTTTTTGAGTATTCCTTCTGACAATTGGATTTTGTAGACCATGCACTTGTCCCTCTTTTAATAAAGGCTTGAAGTGTCCGATTAATGGCTTCTCACAAAATGCATGTATACGATTTCCATACAGATTATAACAATATTACGAACTGCACAACAAAATTGAGAAGCACAAACTACACGTTTTGAAATTGTATATGCATACATGTTCATCTTGGATAATGGATAATAGCTTCGTGTCCATATATTGTGCTCTGGGTATACTTCCTCGTCTTAAGATCATAGTGTCGTAGTAGTCTTAATTTCACAACGCCCCGAGGCCTGGCCGGATGGGGCCTTTTGAGAGGTCTCCAATTTGGAGACATTTATGGGAAATGTAGTGATACACAAAATTAAAAGTTTATTGAATATATATATATATATATATATAGTATTCTTACAATCTCCACTACTGCGGCAGTTTTTCAAAGAAAGTTCTGTGAATGGTTATTCTAAGAATGGGGAAAAAAATCTGCGCAAGGATGATACGGCGTGCCTGAAAATTTTTGCAGGTCTGGAGTTTTTTGTTCTGCAAGAAGAAAAATATTTCACAGAAAAATCTCTATAATTATATATATATATATATATATATATACAAAAACGAAGAGGAAGTTGTGCGTCGTGGAATGGACTTCGCAGTTTTTTCCGCAGGGAAGTTGTGTGTATTGAAACTGCGCAGATGCACGATGTTGTGCGAGTGGTTCCGTACAGTTTTTACGTAGGAGTTAATGGGGAATCAAGGGCTCAGATCTGTCCTTTCTTTATTCCAATTAAAATTGGGCCATAGATTGTAATTTGTGGTTAGGATTACTCTAAATCATTCAATTGTGAAATTGGGCCGTAGATGTAAAATCTGGCGGGTAAATTGGATTAAGATTTCCTATTGTACTTTTATATACTCCCTCCGTCTCAGAAAATCTTTCTCCTTTTTTTTTCATCCGTCCCAAAAAACACTTCTCGTTTCTATTAAAAAGTCACTTTTATCCCTTACTTTTTCATACCCTATCTATCACATCATACCTTTTTACTAATAATCTATCCATCAAATCATACTTTTATCCATCACATCAAAAGACATTTTTGGAAATTCAATACCAAAATACACTCTTCTTAAATCCCTCTTCAAAATTAAAACTCCCATGTTTTCCAGGACGGAGGGAGTATATAATACTCTCTCCGTCTCGCTATATTCGTCCACTTTTGACTTTTGGAACTGTTCATCTAAGCACTTTGATTCATCAAATTCTCTCAATGTGTAAGTCTAAATATAGTCATGTGTGATTTTGTTTGATTTGTCTTAACATATATATTATTAATATATACTACCTCCGTCCCAGTGTCTTTGTCCAGTTTTGACTTTTGGAACTGTTCATCTAAGCACTTTGACTCATCAAATTCTCTCAATGTGTAAGCCTAAAAATAGTCATGTGTGATCTTGTTTGTTTCGTTTTAACATATAGATTATTAATATACTACCTCCGTCCCGCTATATTCGTCCACTTTTGACTTTTGGAACTGTTCATCTAAGCACTTTGACTCATCAAATTCTCTCAATGTGTAAGCCTAAATATAGTCATGTTTGATCTTGTTTGATTTGTCATAACATATAGATTATTAATATATAATTTTTATAATTTTTTAACATACAAATTACAAGATAAAATGGATTAAAGAAGTGTATTGGATGGTGTGCAAAAATGAAAGTGGACAAATACTCTGGGACGGAGGGAGTTTAATTTTTATAATTTTTTAATATACAAATTACAAGATAAAATGGATTAAAAAAGTGCATTGGATGGTGTGCCAAAAGGTAAGTGGACAAAGACAGTGGGACGGAGAGAGTAATTTCTATAATTTTTTAATATACAAATTACAAGATAAAATGAATTAAAGAAGTGTATTGGATGGTGTGCAAAAATGAAAGTGGACAAATGCTCTGGGACGGAGGTAGTAGATTATTCGCGTACATGTACAAATTCAAATCTAGGCCGGATCTGAGGTGGGCCTAATTACTCTCAATTTTTATTGCATATTAGCATAATGAAGTACAATTTTAAAAGTTCTGATACAACATATCTAATAAAGTCACTTTTATGTTAAAATAGATTGCTGTTTTTATTTAATTGAACCTCAAAGTTTGTCCAGTTCAACTCTGACAAATACACACAAATACACTGGGACGGAGGGAGTAATAGATATTATTATTAGTAAAATATTAAGGTCAAAATAAGAATCTCACAGTTTAAAAAATAAAAAAAATGTAAGGATTTTGGACGGACGAACAAAATTTGAGAAACAATACTTCAAAGGGATGGAATAAAACACTATTTATTGATATATGATGATATGAAGGAGTAATATAATTAAGAAATAAGCTGGATGGTCCCACTGCAAGCAGATTTAGGGCCTGTTTGGGAATAGCGTTAGAGATTAGCGTTAGCGTTTTGGATAAAATTTTAACGGTGCAGATTACTTTGAAAACGCTAACGCTAAACGCTGCCCGTTGATAGCCTTTTCAAAACGCTAACGCTAATTGCTAACGTTATTCCCAAACAGACCCTTAATTTATTAATTAGAGCACGGAGGTGGTTCCGGTTCCATGGCGGCGGCCGGCAGCATCCGGGTTACCAGCTCCGGTGGTGAAAGCCGGGGTCCCTCCGGCGGCGGCAGCCGCCTTGGACGCGGCATTCTGCTCCTTGGCAGTCTGTTTCTCCATCTCCGCTTCCTGTTTTCGTTCATCTTTTCTCTCTGTTGCTATCTCTTTCTGCATTGGATCTCTAGTTGTCATCTTCTCCGCCTATACATATATAACTCATCAGATCTATTTAATTTAACATTATATACTCCCTCCGTCCCAAAAAGTTTGTAATGTTTAGAAAAAACAGTTTGTAATGTTTAGAAAAAACTGTGTCCCGTAAAGTTCGTTACATTTCTATTAAAAAACCACTTTTACCCCTTACTTTTTCATACCCTACCTATCTTTTTTCTAATACTCTATCCATCACACCCTACTTTACCCATCACATCAAGAGTATTTTTAGAAAATCAATACCAAAATATCTCTCTCTTAATTTCCTAAAAAATCAAATCGTCCAATTCTTTTTGGGACGGAGGGAGTATATACCAAAGATATATATTATCGAAATATATACCTTTTCCTGAAGGGTGGCTTTAGTCTTTTCCATGCCGGCCTTGGCGGAGGCGGCGGCGTTGGAGGCGGTCTCTTTGGCCGACTGCATTTTCAATTATGATGATGTAATATATATGGATCGAAATATAGTTATATTTCAATATAATCGGTTATATGAGCAGTGCGCGATGTGTATATATACATCCATGCATGCATGCATGCGGCAATTGTTATTAATAGTTATATATGGACCACCGTGAAAGCCACCGCAAAGTGCGAGACGCCATGTGTGCCTTTAAGGGGAGTGGTGTCTTCCTTACCCTTTGACACGTTGATGCCTATATGCCTACCCACATGCACATCTTTTCTCCAAACTGATTTTTTTGTAGTACTCCCTCCGTCCCGCTATATTCGTCCACTTTTGACTTTTAGAACTGTTCATCTAAGCACTTTGACTCATCAAATTCTCTCAATGTGTAAGCTTAAATATAGTCATGTGTGATCTTGTTTGATTTGTCTTAACATATAGATTATTAATATATAATTTCTATAATTTTTTAATATACAAATTATAAGATAAAATGAATTAAAGAAGTATATTGGATGGTGTGTAAAAATGAAAGTAGACAAATACTCTAGGACGGAGGTAGTATTTATTTTTGTCTCTTCTTATTTTATGTAATCTTTTAAAATGTAAGTATTATTTTAAATAAGAGTAAATTCTATAATTGGTCCTTTATAACAGGGGGGTTTCCTATTTAGTCCTCTATTATCAAATATTACGCAATTGGTCCTTCTATTATGGGTACCTTTCCACAAATAGTCCTTTTTTTGATCTTCTATCATGTTGTTGTTAATTTGAGGACTAAAAGTATAATTTCACAATGATAATATATCTTTTTTGTCATACACAATTCCAAAGGCTATTCCGTTTGCTTCGTTTGTGAATTACAGTCGCTTTTTACGACAATTATAGTCTACAAATGTGATCTTTCGTCAGAATCCTAGCCCACAATCATAGTCATTATTTTTGTATTATCCACTCAACCAATATCAGAACACGTCACTAGACATAATGTTGACGTCAAATTATATTTTAGCCTTTAAATTGACACCAACACGGCAGAAGATCAAAAAAGAACTATTTGTGGAAATGTACCCTTAAAAAAAGGACTACGAGGGTAATATTTGATAATAGAGGACTAAATATGGAAACCCCCTGTTATAAAGGACCAATTATGGAATTTACTCTTTAAATAAAATGAATTTAAAAAAAGATATTACCTTCATCCCTATATATTTATTCAGTTTTAACTTTTTTCGATCAACCATTTTCAACTTTTTACTTATAATTAAATAAAATACTTCATCCTTCCCTAAAAGATCTTCTCCTTTCATTTTTTTGTCTCTAAAAAATGTTTCCTTATCTATTAAAAATCACTTTTACTCTTTACTTTTTCATGTCTTACTCATCACATCATACTATACCTTTTTTACTAATAATCTATTCATCACATTTTACTTTTACCTATCACATCAAAAGTATTTTTAGAAAGTTAACACAAAAATATATCTCTCTTAATTGCTCAAAAATCAATAAGGGAAACCATTTCATGGACGGAGGAAGTATATATTGTATATTAATTAGATAAAATTATACTTTGAAAATATTTGATATAATAAATCTAATAAAACTATTTTTGTATCAATATCTAATATCATTTTTATTCAATTTGAGGTCAAAGCTTACCATTTTTACCAAAAAAAGTCAAAAGCGCTTAAAATACTCAGGGACGGAGGAAGTAAGATTTTACACATTGATGGATATTGGGACTGATGGACCCGACTCTAGGCCCAATAACGGCCCACAATCGTGCAAAGTGAACAAGTCCGGGTGCGTGTAACGGATCGAGCCCACTAAGGCGCATATGAGTAATGAGGCGGACGGCCCAATCACGGGCTGAATTGAGATGATCCAGTCCGAGAAAGGAACGGGACGCGTGGCCCACACCCCAAATTGTGGGGGGAATGGGAAGAGAGCAAGACCGGAAAGGAAGGGATCGGAACACATGCAACCCCATGATCTCCATAATTCTTTCCACTATGTGTAACTTTAATTGAGAAATGTAACGCCCTACAACCCGGTCTATTAGAATTTATTGTTTTAAATAATTAATTACTGTTCCAGTCCAGAGTTGGGGAAAATAAAAAGTTCTTAGAAAAATTATTTGAACATGTCATTAAATTCATTTTGATTGTCTGTTTCCAAAAACGTAAACGGTTTTCAATTCGGACCCGTTCGGGGGGAAAACTGTGTACCATTCAGGTCAGATTTTACATAACGGAGTATAATTTAGGGAATTAATTCCCCACTTAACTCTTCACACGCCATTCCTCTCCCTCCCATATTCATCCACCATTATTTGTCATCAATTGCCCATTAATCCTCATCATTACCCATCCCATATAATGACTCCTTCCTCTCTTCACTTTCCCCACCACACTTGTAACCCCCCAACCATTCACACCCTCACATCTCTCTCACTTATTTCTGGCCAAGGTAGCAGCAGCTCGGGGAGAAGTGCCGGCAAGTAGACGAAGGGGAAGGAAGGAGAGGGAAGGAAGGAAGGCCAGCGGGAAGTCGTTCGTTGTCCGTTCATTAGCACCATTCGTTCATCTCGTTCCATCAATCCCTTCATTTAGAGGTGAGTAGTTGTCTCCTCTAATTCTAGAACATTTAGTTATAATCTATGTCGTTATATTCATAAGAATATCGTACGCAACCTACGTAGAATCTATGCATGTTCGTAGGTAAACCATCAAACATACATATGTCCATGTTATCAAGTTACGAACTCGTTAATATAAACATTCTGAAACTCCGTATATTCATGGAATACTTAACATGTAATCATAAACATTCGTTTCAAAAACTCCCAATGTATCGATGATAATCAAACAATCAAAATGGGAATCAGCGTGCCTTGATAATCGATTTACAGAACGGAATAGTCGACTATCAGGTCACGCTGAACTCTTCAGTTGACCCAGCATAGTGTGACAATCGATTATCACATAAGTGGTAATCGATTATCAGGCCCTGCGGATTCTTGAGTCAGAACTGGTTCACTTGACAATCAATTATCAGCCAGCTCTGAACCTAAGGCCATCATGTTGAACAAAATGTAATCAAACACATATGTATGCGTAGAATTTAATTTCCTTCTTCAATCAATGCATTCATTTCATCATGTTCATCTTAGACGCATGTCCTAGGTTTGTCATCATGTGCATACCGCTGTAGGGAGGTCAGGCTTTCGTGCGCCTACTACAGTGGGCTCGTCCAGGAACCTTTGGGATCCAACGGGTTTTCATCAAGTGGGCTTTGTGTACGTACATGGTAGTCAGACTACGGCTACCACCCGGTTTTTGCTAGTTCACTTGCGACGTTTGTCGAGCCCGGGTCATTACCGGAGTGCAGGGGTGATCCTGTCAAGTGAGACTAAGTCAGGGGTGTCCCTAATAGCATAAGTCATGCATCAAGTCATATAGTCATCATGTATGTTCCATGTCACGTCAACATTCAGTATGGTTGTCATCATCATGTACATTCCCCATCATGTTCGTATTCAACGTGGTAGTACATCATTTTGTTATACGTAATAGTATCCCAACAGGTGTAAATTACAGTTAGTAACATGTGGTTTTCCGTACGTTAGGTACAGGTATTAATATGTGTATAACCATATGGGTTATCACTTAATGTTCTTTTGTTAGATTCACTCCTCAGCTTATGCTGAGCGTGTAGTTGTTTTTGCTACACGCAGGTAGACATGACGGTGCAGGTGCTAACCCTGGAGGGCAGTGATGGTGGGAAGATGGGCGGTGCATGGACAAGTTCAATAATTAAATACACTAAATTAATTAACCATTTGGGCATGAACCCACCATTTGTCGTTTTACTCATTTATTTACTTCCGCTTTTACTCTGCATTTATATCACTCACGTTTTGGACATACTTCCTAGCATTTATTACACCAATTAAACACAAACGTTTTCATAATAAATAGTCATTATTATCCCATCAATCAAACGTAACCGTTTTCTTATTAAATAAACATTAATGTTTTTGTAACGGACGGTTCTCGGACCGCCCATGTAACCCTACCGGTCCGTTGGGTCGCGGGTGAACCGGTTCCACGGAAGGCGGGTGTTACAAGAAATTAGTAGTATTATAAAAGGGGAAAGAACCCGCCATTGTAAGGGGAGACACCCAACAATTACACACCCAAATAAGAATATTATTGTGAGATTATATCTTCCTTATTTATATTCCGTTCTGAGTCCGCCATCTGATCGAGTTAATCTCATCACACATTAATCGAAGAGTCCAATTCATTTGGAAACAAAATGAGTAAAGAATATACGGAGTATAGTTCACAATCTTTCTCTTTCTTTGTAATCAAATATTTCTTTCTGATGTCCTAAAAAAGACCCTTTATTTATTTTTTGTGATGTCTTATTTAAAAATAGTTTCCTCTTTCTTCTTTATTTTTAATTTTTTTGAAAAATTTTAAGTTGTTCACCGTCTTTTTTTCTCTTCTACATCACTTTCAATCACAACTCTTCACTTTTCTTAAACTTTGTACCAAGTCAAATTAGGAGCTTTTTTTTGGGACGAATGTAGTACTCCTTCTTTAGGAAGCTAAAATTTTGGGTGAAGTTAACGATAATGGTTGGGGCATAAAATAGATATAAGCCATTAAAGATTTCAGACTACATATTCTTTGTTCTCTTTGTCTCCAAACAAATTACACCATAGTTTTAAAAACCGGACCGGACCGGCCGGTTCGGACCGTGAACCGGCGAACCGGTGGTCCAACCGGTCCGGTCCGGCTCATTGGACTGTAATGCGCTTCGAACCGGTCCGAACCGGTGTGAACCGGTAAGAACCGGCCGGTCGGACTTGTCCGACCGGTTTTTTTTTTTTTTTTTTTGCAATTTTTTTCCAAAATTCACTCCATGGAGGTTTGAACCCAAGACCTCTTAGCTATTTGTTTAAGTTCTTAACCATCCAACTAACGGTGTTTGTTGTTTCAAATTTATATAATTTTTTCTAATATTTCATAATTAATAAAAAGATTGTATAAAAATTACTTTTAAATTT